GTTAGGGGATATGTTGTGTGCTTCTTATGGAAATGCTCCTATCATTGAGGGGTCAACAACACTTAATTATTCTAATCTAACAGACCTCAATGATAAATTGGCTCGGCCAATCTGTGGTGCCAATTTGCCATTATAACCTGGATGCAAAGACTTTTCTAGATTATCATTCGTTATGAAGTTGCTGAACAATAAACTGGTAACCAACAGTACTGAATAAGCCTTCAACATGAATCTGGACCTGGTCAAGAAAGCTTTACCTATTGGTGAGACGCTTCCTTCTTCCTTCTATGAAGTTAAGCAGTACATGGAAGATCTTGGGTTCGGTTACACCAGTATAGATGCCTGCCCAAATCATTGTGTACTCTATATAGGTCCTCTAGAATCTGCCAAGTCATTCCTCCCTCTTCTTCGAGACTGCCTGTCTTGAATGTATCTATGGACGAGCCTTGAAAAAGCCTATTTTCTTTCTCTGTCGCTGCCTCTCCTATGGCGATTTCTCTCTGAACCTTACCCGCGAAATTGAGACCGATTCATTGCTTTGTAGTGTCTGCTCGCCGCTCTAGTTTGGGGACCCATTTCACAGGTAGGCGCTAGTTTTATAATTTCCATTCACGTTTTCCGCGCTAAGCTTTATCCTGCCCTCGATTCTCCAATCCATTCCAGTTTATGTCTCTGCTATGCACTGTTTATGTTGATGCCCTCGATTCTTTGATTTCTGCTCCGTTTGGGTCTATGGTTTGGTAGAAGCTCAACTCCTTTGCGCCTCGTGTGAGTAGTTTGTGGGTTAGGATTTGGATTTGAAATCGGCATTGCCCCCCTTCCCCGTGTGTTGCCGCCTCTGCTAAGCCCACGATTTAATCGCTACCCATTTAAATATATAGGTGCTAGTTTGCTTAACAAGGTTGCATGCAAAAATCTATTTTCGATTCCTCTGCCTCTTTTTGGAACTTTTGGTTCTGATTTGAACATCCTGATTTGCTCAGCTGATTTACGTCTATATAACTAGAATATGACTTCTGGTTTTATCCTTCATTCTCATATATGGTGTTCTTTTCCTTCGGTATTGCTTTGTTGTTATTTGCAAGTAATCGTTGTTAGCCTTCAATTGAGGTCAACACCTACTGTGTAAGAATTTTGACCATTAAACCACCTTTCTGTTGTAGGTATGCCGGCACTGAAGAAGAAGAAGGCTGCTACTGACAAGGGAGTGCCGATCCCTGATTTTTACCGGGCGACAAGATCAGGGAGGGTGCGGCCGGAACTTGTTCGGTCCACCGAATCTGTAAGCGGGGGGATTGGACGTCGAACTAGAACCCTAGTGAATGAGGAAACTCAATGCACAGACACCGTGAATCCAGAGGAACCCAATGGCAACGACGATTCCGAGGCAGAAGCATCCAATCATGACAACGGAGAAGGTAGTAATCCAACTTGATTGGAAGGACCCCCTGCGACTAAAAAGAGAGGACTGTCCAAAGGGTATGAGATAATGAAGAGAACCGGAATTGGAGGCAAGATAGATGCAATCTAAGTAATGGAGAATGGGCAGTCATTCGTAAGGCCAAATGAGAGCTTGTTGAAGACAAAGTTGGGCGTCGTAACACGCCTGATGGCTCCGATAAGGAATTACTATTGGTCCAAGTTGACCAAAGCAGACAAGCACCCGTTATTCAAGAAGCTAGATGTAATTTCCAAGTACTGCTAGTTTGACATGAAGTAGGCTAATCTTGACATGTTTTTTTGCTGTTGTTTGTTTTTTTCGTACTGTATTTCCTTTTATATATTGCCCAGTAGTTTGTGTTCTTGGAGTGGGACGAGGCAGCAAAGCTTGTTGTTGCCTCATTGGCATGGCTACCCTGTTTTCTCATTTGCGGTTTCGGAGTTTGTATATCATTTACTATGATGATTAGATCGTGAAATGCAAAGTTGTTGATCCTTTTTAATTGACTTGGGAAAATTCACTAAATGTTGGTAAATGAACTATATAATTGTTTTTCATGTAGGATGAATTCGACATAGACACGGCAGGTGCAGATGCAAGGAAGATTAGGGAGAAGAGAATGAAGAAGCGGTTCATCAATTACAAGTATGCGATGCACGCTCACTACCTGAAAGACCCTCAGACAACCAGGAAAACCCCTCTAGTGTACATGACCATAGAGGATTGGCATATGTTGTGTGATCACTTTGAGAGTGAAAACTTTCTAGTACGTAACTCCTTCTGTTTCATCATCAATTCTTTCATGTGTTACCTTGCCTTACAATCAATGGTTGCTAATGACTTGTATTTGTCATATGCAGAAGCAAAGCCAAATAAATAAAGACAACAAAAGTAAGCAAGTGTATGCACACACTTCTGGTGCAAAATCGCTTGATCAAAGAATATATGAGTTGGTAAGTGTTTTCAAATTCAGCAACTAATTTATACATTCATATTATTCGCCTCATTGGTTTAACTCTGCCTCATTGTGGAACTTTCCTTGCTTCGTGTAGGAGAAGAAAAAGAAGCAAAAGCAAAAGAAGCAGGAGGAGCAGCCTACTCAAGAAGAGCGGGAAACTGACATGGAGGACGGTGATATCGTAGAGGAGGAGCCAGTAGATCTACTACTGTATGCGAAGAGTTATCAGTGGGCTGACGGAAGTTGGGTATCGGAGGAACCGCAGAAGAACTATGTGAGTTCATCCTTTTGTGCCTTGTTACATTTTTTATTAGTTCATACCAAACCATGTGACATATTTCATTACCCATTGTTGTACAATGCCTAGTTGGAGATGTAGTCCATCTGGATAGAAGCAAAGGCAGAGGGGAAGCATATATCAGGCCGTGAGATTGTTGAGAAGGTCCTCAAGAAAAAGGTGAAGTATGGACCGAAGGAGAACCCAAGATCAGCAAAGGAGCTTCAACTCCAAGCAGAATTGGAGGCAACAAGAGCCGAAGCGGAAAGAAAAGCCAAGGAGTTTGTTGAGAAGATACAGAGTCAGAAGGAGCAGCTAAAAAGCCAGGCTGAGAAGATACAACTTCAGGAAGAAAAGTTACAGAGCCAGGAGGAGAGGTTTGATACTCAAGTACAGGAGATGAACCAGATGAAAGCCTCCCAAGACAAGCTACAACATCAAGTGCTACTGATTGCTCGCCAATTACCCCGCAAATGAAATGCTAAGTTCAAGGTAACAACACTACCTTAGTTTGCAGAGGCAGATGCGACTGCAAGCTAGTTGTTGGTGTTAGAAGTATGTTAGTTTATGCTTTTGTGAACAAAGTTATCGTGGTTTGTGTTGTGGTGAACAAGGATTTTCATGTGTTGTGTCATCTTGGACAACTTTGAATGTTTGTTTATGGTGAACAAGGACGTAGACTGTTATGGGAATGGACATGGATGTAATATTTTAGATGTTTTCCAATATATGTCCATGATCAGTTTGCGGATAAAATTTCGCATTATGGAATTTGTGAAGCAGGTCAAATGTGACAACATTGGAAAGTTCTCATATTATGACAAGTCCATGACAAGCTATACTCGTCATAATAAACTGAAATGACAAAATATACTCGTCATAATACGGATTTACGATAAAATCGCCACGTCACAATTATAAGTTGTGACAAAATGCGTTCGTCCTAATATACTGAAATGACAAAATATATTCGTCGTATACGCATTTATGACAAAAGTTATTCGTCACAACATAATTTATGACAAAAATAAATTAGTCACAACAATGTGATGCAAGAGTATAAACCCAGTAATATGCCTTCAATTTATGACAAAACATGTTGACAAACTTTTCAGTTTGTCGCTTTATACACATTTCCTAACAAACAAAGGATTTGTCATAATAGGCTTGTGACAAATTATGAACCTCTAATGACAAATATGAATTCTTGCATGTTATCGAGTGCATCCTATTATGATGACTGAGAGTTTCATTAGGTGTGTGCAAGACCTTGGAGTGAAACCCTAGCTTCTTCTCTCTTCTTGCTCTTCACTTTCTCTCACTAGAATGTTGAAGAAGAAGGTTTTTCACTAAAGGTCTCCTCCCTTCCTTTTCCTTCAGCTCAAGGTTGCCTTTTATACTCAGGTCGGGCTCACATCACGATCCCAGTTCACGGCTGTGAACTCAAGGCGGGGACCGTGACCTCGGGCCAAAACGCGCCGCATCACTAACTCAGTTCACAGTCTTTGGCTTCGGTTCACGGTCTTACGACGTAAACTGACTTGAGTCCAGTGAGAATCAAAATGGCTCTGGACGCCTGTTGGTTCACTGTTTGCGGCTCTAGTTCACGGTCTCCTTGATCGTGATCTCACTTTTCCGCCGTGAGCTTCTACTGAAATGCACAGAAACGAGACAAAATCCAACTTTGCGCGGTGATCTCACTATTTGCGCATTTTCTTCCAACTTCGACTTCGGGGTTGGTTCCACCTAGTATAGACTGAAATGCACAGAAACGAGACAAAATCCAGCATAAAACCAAACCTCCCGGAGTAAAAATGCCTCAAATAACTAAGAAAATCGTGGTAAAAAGTGTACAATTAATCCTGAATCAGTATACGAACTGAAAATAAAGAATATACAAACCAATGCAACAAAGTATACAAATTTTATAATAAATATTACAAATTATACAACCCAGATGATAAAAGTATACAAACCAACAACACAAACTATACAAACCAGATTATAAAGGTATACAAGTCATGTTATAAAAATATAAAAATATTACAAAATATACAAACAGTATCATAAAATGTATACAAACAAATAATACAAAGTATAAACTATATAAAAAATATATAAATCATAATGACATGGTATAAAAAATACTAACAATACAAATTATCACTACTTGCAATACAATATGATAGGGCTTGTACTACAAACCAAATCATAAATGTATATAAATTAATATTACAAAAAAAATACAAATCTTATTCATAAAAATATACAAATCAAATTGACAATATATACAAAACATATTTTCCGTAAAAAATACAACTACTTACAATACAAACCAATATTGCAAAGTTACAAACCATATATTAAAATTATACAGATTAATATTAAAATTTTATACAAATAAGTATGACATTATATGCAAAGAATACTTACAATACAAATACCACAACTAACAGTACAATCTCATATAACTTGCATTACAAACTGATAATGGGTGTGCCTACGGTGACATGCATGTCACGGTGACTTGCACTTTCCGGTCGACCTCAGTTAGAATTAGGTAATGAGGTCGACCTCATTTAGGATTCAGACGACCTCATATAGGATCAGGTCGACCTAATCTATTGTTTCAGTGTAAAAACAGTTCATGGTGCATACTTTGGATATTCATATCATACAATTGGCTAGATGGAAATTAAAGACTAAAGACTTGTTTTGAAGTTGGAGTGTCCCTCTACATATTGAAGTGATTGAGAGCTCGATAGGAAGTCAAGAAGACCATTTTTGAACCTCATCAAAAGGCTATGCCAAAACTGGGAAACTGCCTGGAAATGGCCAAGTCTGGAAACGTGTTTGTGAAACCTATTTTGGAGCTCAATTCGAGAAGCATGAATGTGAGTCGAGTCCAGGAGCCTCTACCACGTTAAATTAGGTATGTTTTTATACAAATTCAAGGCATTGGATGAAAGATTGGATATCTGTAAGGCTTCAAACAAAAGGGTCGAAGTTGCTACGAAGGGTGTTTTTCTGGCAAGTACTTTAATGTGTAGAGGGACACTTCAGCTTCAAAACAAGTCTTTAATCTCCAATTTCCATCTAGCCAATTGTAAGATAGGAATCTCCAAAGTAGACACCATGAAACTGTTTTTACACTGAAACAACAGATTAGGTCGAACTAATCCTATATAATGTCGACCGAAAAGTGCATGTCACTGTGACATGCATGTCACCGTAGCAAAGTCCTAATATTAAATATACAACACAACTAACAGTACAATCTCATATGACTTGCATTACAAACTGATAATATTAAATATACAAAGAATAAGTAAAAAGTATATAAATTATTTTGGGTAATGTCTATTTTTTATCCAAACTTTTTTCATATTCTTTTATATTATCTAAACCTATTAAAATGCTATTAATCAGCCAAATCTTTCGAAATGCATCAAAATATTAGTCATGTTTATATTATCGTTAATAATTTTCTTAACTATTTTCTTAGTTAAAATACTAAAATTTTGTAATGTTGACCTTCATGTGTCTCTTCCAAGTCAGTATCATGTTGCCATGTCAATATTACTAACAAAATTCCTAATTGGAAGTTAACATTTGGCTAATTAATAACACTTTAATAGGTTTGGACAATATAAAAGAATCTGAAAAAGGTTTGGATAAAAAATAGACATTACCCAATTATTTTACAAATTATACCAACCATATAATAAAACTGTACAAATCAGACTTACATTATATACAAAGAATACTAACTATATAAATCGACAAGACATTATATGTAACATCCCGTTCCGGCAAAACCCATATTTCGATCGCTAGAAAGTTCGCGATTTAAAATCGAGCATTTCGACACTATTTCGGCGAAAATCGGATTATCGATCGATCGGATAGGTATACGTATTAATTATAATATATATATATATATATATATATATAATATTACAATTAAGCGGTCACTTATATAAAGTTTCTCCCCCGTCCATTAATTATCATCATCAACATCATTTTTTCTCATTTCCATCCGCGAGAGAAGCAGAGGAACAGAGAGCGTACAGGGGAGCTCGGGTAGAATTTCCAAAGCTCCAATCTTGAGCCCTAGTGATCCAAAAAAATCCCGTAAGTAATGCCTAATTCATCCATACATCGTGATTTATCGATTTAGAGCTTTAAAACGAGTTTTTGGTTCAGGAATTTCTTGATTTCCCGATCTGCCAAATTAGGGTTTCGGAGTATCCGGAAGCCGGATTGAGCCCAAATTTCATATACGAGCTTCTTGCAGCGAGGTAATCAATCCCCTAGTTCTAATTCCTGATTTTCGGCTATTATTTAGGCCAGGGTCCAAACTGCTGAATTTAGCTCCGGCCAGGGTTTGATGTGCTTTTATCGAGAATTTGACCCGGAGCCTAGAACTAATATTGACGGGGATACTGCAGGGGATATTAGGACGGTCTCGGATTTTAATTCGGGGTTCGTTCCTGAAATTGACGTTTTAGTACGGGAAGGTTAAACCGGTGTTTGAACGACCAGAACTGGTGAGGGATTAGCACGGCATACCGGGTTTGTCGTATCACGATAATTATATTGATGCTTAGAATTGACCTAGGTGAATTAGAATGGCATGATTATGGGTGTATGGACTTCTCTGCTATATGATGAACTATAGGCTTCTGTATGATATTATTGACTTGCCTTAATCGATATGGACCTTGTTTATGTTGATAATTCCATATATGTTGCCAGATGTGGGTTTAATTGTGAATATGCCTTATGTTGGTTCGAGAAGGTGATTGGATATGATTTTTCATGATTGTTGTATTTGGATGCATAAGTGGGAAAATATATATTCCCTGGTGATATCATGATGTTTTAAGGAGGATGACTTGCACGAGGGTTTATCCCGAGGAAGTGCAACTATACGACTCCTGGTTTACCTATGTTGAGCCAATTATGGCCAGGTCAAGTACATGTGCAAGTAATGAATTATGATTAAGCAAGATGAGATATGAATCATGTATAAGGATACCAAATATGAGTGTTGTGGTCTCACGGTCAACTACATAGTAATTAGGGCTCCCTATGCTATTACTCTATTATGATATGATAGTCACACCTCTCATGTGGTGGTGACTGAAGAATTCTTACGAGATATGACCACACCCAGAGTGGTGTCGGGGTATGACTACACCCATAGTGGTATGGGGTATGTATGACCACATCCGACGGGATGTTGGGGTATGTATGACTACATCCGACGGGATGTGGGGTATGTTTCCCGGGAGAGTTATTAGCATGGGAGTAGCCAGGCGCCTATGATTAAAACATGATAAGATGCATATGCATAAGTCAAAGTGGTTGAGTCTTTTGCTTATTGGGATATGAGGATGGCTGAGGTCCGATCCTAGTGTTTTGGCTCGTTTGCTAGATGTATGGTAGGGGTATGCTCTGTTATGAACTCACGATGCTATGATTATCTCACTCAGCTATGAGCTGACCCTCTTTTATTCTTCTTCTCTGCTTATGCTATGTGTAAGCAGATCATCAGCAGCAGCAGTAGATAAGTGTTAGGTGGGAGAGGAGCTAGAGTTGAAGCCAGGATGAGGTATGGTCTTCAACTATTCTGTGCTTGGACTACTACTCGGGATTTTGGCCAGTGATCCACACCTTTTTGTAAAAATGTTTTGAGAACGTTTTTCATGTGCATACTAGCTTCTGATGTAGTGTGAGATATCCACAGGTGTGGAAAGTTGATGATATGTGTATATGTTGTGTAACTGTGTAAGTTGTGACGATTATGGTATGTATAAGTATGGTATGCAGTTAGGAAGTATGAAAACTGTGACTATGGCTAGGGAAAGCCAATGCTTATGGTTGTGAGTATATATGTTTGTGATAAATTATTTTGCAGGACAAGTTGCAAGAACTGTTAGCCCATTACGCGAGTAATTCATGTCGAAATTTTATTTAGATAAATTTTGATAATTAATGTAACACCCGAGATTAATTCCGCTGCAATTGTATGAACAATATGATTAGGTAATACGTATAGGATAGGGTGTTACAGTTTGGTATCAGAGCCCGGTTCCCTCTTTTTGCTGTTATGGCGTACTATACCCTATGGGAGGCTAAACACTCCTAAGGAGGGGAGTACCCCATAATGACTTAAACTGGGAATTGAATTTGATATGATTATGTGTATTGGTATATTGGATGAAATTACCTGCATCATGGTTTTCAAAAATTGAGTTTTGAACTTATTTGTTTTCGAGTAATTATTTTGGGAAAATTTTTGTTTTAACCAAGTGAGAGATTTGGTGAAGAATGAATTTTGTGTGGATCAATCTAAGGCCAATATTTCCTTGTAGCTCGCACGGAAGTTGTGAAAATGTTCCTACTGACCAGTCGAGAGGAGTGGGGGCGGTTGATGCAAGACCGCCAGTATTAGATTATGCAAAGATGAAGAGTTTGGGTGGTAGGGACTTTAAGGGAGATGTGAGCCCAGATGCTGTAGTAGAGTGGTTGAGAGAGATGGAAGATGTGTTTGAATATCTTTATGCAACCCCAGAGGAAAAAGTGCAATATGTTGTTTTTCTCCTAAAGGGGTATGCGAGGAGCTGGTGGTCCTCAGTCTCTAGAGTTAATGGTGAACGAGTTCAGTTCACCTGGGAGGAGTTTCTGAAGGCCTTTAAGACAGAGTTTCTTCCCGAAGCTTTTATCAGGGCAAAGAACAATGAATTTTCCAACCTTAAGCAGGAGAATATGACAGTTACTGAGTACACCATCAAGTTTGTTCGACTGCTTTACTTTGAGGATGGGTTGGCGGATACTGAGCATAAGAAGAAGATGAGATACTTGCATGGTCTGCGCATAGGATTGAAAGAAAAGATCCACAGGGTTGATGAAGAGAGCATGGCCACAATCAAGGAGGCAGCACTTAAGTATGAAGCCTATGAAGTTGAGAGCCGAGAGGAACACAAGGCCAAAGAAGAGGAGAAGAAGAGGAAGTTTGGAGTAAATTATGCTGGACCTCGTTACCCACCCAGGAGAGGTCCTAGCAGTTTTGGGAGAACACCAAGTCAATCTATGTCGGGAACATCATACAGGGCACCAATATCCTCAGCCACACAATTTCCATTTTGTCAAGTTTGTCAGAAGAGGCATATTGGAGAGTGTAGGAGATTTTCTGGTGTATGCTTTCACTGTGGCCAACCTGGGCACATCATGAGGGATTGCCCGCATGCGAGAGAAGTAAGAGCTACACAGTCCGAGCCTTCAGTGCAAATGAGTAGAGCCCCATTCAGGGGTGGTTACCAGGGAGGCCGTAGTGGATTTCAGAGTGGTCGTGGTGGTTCACAGGGTGGTAGAGGTGGTGGTCGAAATCAGCCATCAGGAAGTGGTACGCAGGGTACCAGAGCACAGGGAGCACCGAGGGTTTATGCAATGACTCGAGGTGAGGCAGAAGTGGCACCAGAAGTTGTGACTGGTATGCTTTCTATCCTTGGCAAGCAATTATATGCTTTGATCGATACTGGTTCCTCTCACTCATTCATGTCATATACGTTTGCACATATGCTACATTTAGTTCCAGATAAGCTAGGCTATACCTTATGTGTTAAAACACCTGTGGGAGATACCTTGAAGGTAGACTCAGTTATTAGAAGTTCCTTCATTTGTGTGGAAGGAGCTTTCCTAGCAGCAGATTTAATTCTGCTACCTTTTGATGAATTCGATGTCATCCTTGGAATGGACTTTCTGGCAACACATGGAGCTGTTGTGGATTGTCAAAAGAAAGAAGTGTTATTCAGCACACCAGATAAAGGTCCTGTTGTATTCCGAGGCATTAAGAAAAAGGAGACTCATGGTTTTCTTTCTGCCTTGGAAGCTTTTCGATTAGTGAAGGAAGGTTGTGAAGCCTTTCTTGCTCAAGTTACTATAGTAAATGATAAGAAGGTTGAGGATGTAGAGGTGGTAAGGGAATTTCCTGATGTATTCCCCGAAGAACTTCCCGGCCTTCCACCAGAAAGGGAAGTAGAGTTTGATATTGAATTGGTACCTGGCACAACACCAATTTCAATGGCACCATATAGAATGGCACCAATTGAGCTGAAGGAGCTTAAAGAACAATTGCAAGAATTGTTAGACAAGGGGTTTATTCGACCTAGCATCTCACCTTGGGGTGCACCGGTTTTGTTTGTCAAGAAGAAAGATGGTTCCATGAGAATGTGCATTGACTACCGGAGGTTGAATAAGGCGACAGTGAAGAATCGTTATCCCCTTCCAAGAATAGATGATTTGTTTGATCAATTGCAGGGTGCATCAGTCTTTTCTAAGATTGATTTGAGATCTGGATACCATCAATTGAAAGTGGCAGATGGAGCAACCTCAAAAACAGCTTTTAGAACAAGATATGGGCATTATGAGTTCCTGGTAATGCCTTTTGGACTCACTAATGCACCAGCGGTATTTATGGCTCTTATGAACAGAGTTTTCCATGAATATCTTGATAAGTTTGTGATTGTGTTCATAGATGATATTCTCATCTATTCTAAAAGCGAGGAGGAGCACAAAGCTCACCTTAGAATTGTGTTGCAAATTCTAAGGGAGAAACAATTATATGCAAAATTCTCAAAATGTGAGTTTTGGCTGAAGGAGGTAATATTTCTGGGACATGTAATTTCTGGAAGAGGTGTCGAGGTGGATCCGAAAAAGGTGGAAGCAGTGGTGAGTTGGACTCCACCAAAAGATGTGTCGGAGTTGAGAAGTTTTCTTGGCATGGCTGGTTATTATCGGCGGTTCGTAGAAGGATTTTCTAAAATTGCTGCACCATTGACTAAACTGTTGAGGAAGAATACTAAGTATGTTTGGGATGAATCATGTCAAAAGAGTTTTGATGAACTGAAAAAGAGATTGACCACAGCACCAGTACTTGCACTACCTTCAAGTCAGGGAGAGTTTGTGGTGTATAGTGATGCCTCGTATCAAGGATTGGGCTGTGTGTTAATGCAAGATGGAAGAGTTATCGCATATGCCTCTAGGCAATTGCGTCCTCATGAAGTAAATTATCCCACTCATGACTTAGAATTGGCAGCGGTGGTATTTGCTCTCAAGATTTGGCGACATTATTTGTATGGTGAGACTTTTAAAATTCTAACTGATCACAAAAGCTTGAAGTATATTATGGATCAGAAGGATTTAAATAGTCGCCAGAGGAGATGGATAGAGTTGTTAAAAGATTATGATTGTACCATTGATTACCATCCAGGTAAAGCTAATGTAGTTGCTGATGCTCTGAGCAGAAAGGGGAAGAAGAATATAAATGATCTGGTTGATTTGAGGGCAATGAATGTTGATTTGGAAGTGGATGGTGTAACAGGGTTACTAGCTCGATTGAACATTCGACCTTTGTTGCACGACAAAATTCGTGAGAAGCAGAAGGAGGACCCAGAGTTGGTAAAAATCATTCAAGACATTGGGGAAGGAAAAGAAAGCCCATTTGAAATGGTAGATGGCATGTTGAAGATTAATGGAAGAGCATGTGTTCCTAATGTTGATAACTTGAGGAAAGAGATCCTAGATGAAGCTCATTCTTCTGCTTATGCTATGCACCCAGGAGCAACTAAAATGTATCACACGATCAAACCATATTTTTGGTGGCGTGGGATGAAAAAGGAAGCGGCTGAACATGTTTTCACATGTCTGGTATGTCAGAAAGTTAAGGCAGAACATCAAGCTCCTGTGGGAAAACTGCAACCACTTCCAATTCCAGAATGGAAGTGGGAAAGAATCACAATGGATTTTGTATATGGTCTCCCATCATCAAGGGGAAAAGATGCAGTATGGGTGATTGTGGACCGACTGACCAAATCGGCTCACTTTTTACCCATTAGATGGAAACCATCACTGGAGACTTTGTCTCAACTATATATTAAGGAGATCGTCAGATTGCATGGTGTGCCAATTTCTATTGTCTCTGATCGAGACCCGAGCTTCACATCTCGGTTTTGGCAAAGTTTACATGATGCCTTGGGAACTAAACTGCATTTTACTTCAGCTTATCATCCTCAAACAGATGGGCAGAGTGAACGAACCATCCTAACTTTGGAGGAATTACTTCGATCATGTGTAATGCAATGGGAGGAATCATGGATTGACCATTTGCCCCTGATTGAGTTTGCTTACAACAATCAGTACCATAGTAGTTTGGGTGTCCCACCATATGAAGCACTTTATGGGAGAAAATGTAGAACACCATTATGTTGGGATGTAGAAGGAGCAAGGCAAATCTCAGGGCCAGAGATAGTTCAGATCACAGTTGATAAGGTCAAGGAAATCAGGGAGCGGTTGAGGGTGGCTCAAGATCGACAGAAAGTTTATGTTGACACGAATAGGCGTGAAGTTAATTTCGAAGTGGGTGAGAAAGTATTTCTCAAAGTGTCACCATGGAAAGGGGTGATGAGATTTGGTAAGAAAGGAAAGCTTGCACCTCGATATATTGGGCCATATGAAATCACAGAGAATATTGGACCAGTGGCTTATAAGTTAGCATTGCCTCCAGAAATATCTCAAATCCACAATGTATTTCATGTTAGTATGCTGAAAAGGTACAAAGTGGATCCTTCCCATGTTATACAACCAGAAGAGATCGAGTTGGGTACAGATTTAACATTTGAAGAAGTCCCAGTGCAGATTGTTGACCATCAGGTTAAGACTCTTCGCAGGAAAGAAATACCAATGTTGAAAGTGGTTTGGAGAAATCAAGAAAGTGAGAGTGCTACCTGGGAAACTGAAGCAAGTATGCGAGAGAAGTACCCTGAGTTGGTAGCAACCTACCTTGCAGGTTAACAATCTTGCCTAATAAGATATGTTTTGAACTTGCTGATGTGCTTTTGTTGTGATAGCCCAGTATAGGTTTTTGAAACCTAAACATGGGAACTTGAGGTGTTATGTGTTACTTTCTATGTTATGAATCTCCTAACCTAAGAGGTAGGTAAGGGTTTATCTACGATAGACCATGTTAAGGGTTAGTAAGGGGAGTTAGAGTACGACTCAAGAATAGATTTCGGGGACGAAATCTTTTAAGGAGGGGAGAATTGTAACATCCCGTTCCGGCAAAACCCATATTTCGATCGCTAGAAAGTTCGCGATTTAAAATCGAGCATTTCGACACTATTTCGGCGAAAATCGGATTATCGATCGATCGGATAGGTATACGTATTAATTATAATATATATATAATATTACAATTAAGCGGTCACTTATATAAAGTTTCTCCCCCGTCCATTAATTATCATCATCAACATCATTTTTTCTCATTTCCATCCGCGAGAGAAGCAGAGGAACAGAGAGCGTACAGGGGAGCTCGGGTAGAATTTCCAAAGCTCCAATCTTGAGCCCTAGTGATCCAAAAAAATCCCGTAAGTAATGCCTAATTCATCCATACATCGTGATTTATCGATTTAGAGCTTTAAAACGAGTTTTTGGTTCAGGAATTTCTTGATTTCCCGATCTGCCAAATTAGGGTTTCGGAGTATCCGGAAGCCGGATTGAGCCCAAATTTCATATACGAGCTTCTTGCAGCGAGGTAATCAATCCCCTAGTTCTAATTCCTGATTTTCGGCTATTATTTAGGCCAGGGTCCAAACCGCTGAATTTAGCTCCGGCCAGGGTTTGATGTGCTTTTATCGAGAATTTGACCCGGAGCCTAGAACTAATATTGACGGGGATACTGCAGGGGATATTAGGACGATCTCGGATTTTAATTCGGGGTTCGTTCCTGAAATTGACGTTTTAGTACGGGAAGGTTAAACCGGTGTTTGAACGACCAGAACTGGTGAGGGATTAGCACGGCATACCGGGTTTGTCGTATCACGATAATTATATTGATGCTTAGAATTGACCTAGGTGAATTAGAATGGCATGATTATGGGTGTATGGACTTCTCTGCTATATGATGAACTATAGGCTTCTGTATGATATTATTGACTTGCCTTAATCGATATGGACCTTGTTTATGTTGATAATTCCATATATGTTGCCAGATGTGGGTTTAATTGTGAATATGCCTTATGTTGGTTCGAGAAGGTGATTGGATATGATTTTTCATGATTGTTGTATTTGGATGCATAAGTGGGAAAATATATATTCCCTGGTGATATCATGATGTTTTAAGGAGGATGACTTGCACGAGGGTTTATCCCGAGGAAGTGCAACTATACGACTCCTGGTTTACCTATGTTGAGCCAATTATGGCCAGGTCAAGTACATGTGCAAGTAATGAATTATGATTAAGCAAGATGAGATATGAATCATGTATAAGGATACCAAATATGAGTGTTGTGGTCTCACGGTCAACTACATAGTAATTAGGGCTCCCTATGCTATTACTCTATTATGATATGATAGTCACACCTCTCATGTGGTGGTGACTGAAGAATTCTTACGAGATATGACCACACCCAGAGTGGTGTCGGGGTATGACTACACCCATAGTGGTGTGGGGTATGTATGACCACATCCGACGGGATGTTGGGGTATGTATGACTACATCCGACGGGATGTGGGGTATGTTTCCCGGGAGAGTTATTAGCATGGGAGTAGCCAGGCGCCTATGATTAAAACATGATAAGATGCATATGCATAAGTCAAAGTGGTTGAGTCTTTTGCTTATTGGGATATGAGGATGGCTGAGGTCCGATCCTAGTGTTTTGGCTCGTTTGCTAGATGTATGGTAGGGGTATGCTCTGTTATGAACTCACGATGCTATGATTATCTCACTCAGCTATGAGCTGACCCTCTTTTATTCTTCTTCTCTGCTTATGCTATGTGTAAGCAGATCATCAGCAGCAGCAGTAGATAAGTGTTAGGTGGGAGAGGAGCTAGAGTTGAAGCCAGGATGAGGTATGGTCTTCAACTATTCTGTGCTTGGACTACTACTCGGGATTTTGGCCAGTGATCCACACCTTTTTGTAAAAATGTTTTGAGAACGTTTTTCATGTGCATACTAGCTTCTGATGTAGTGTGAGATATCCACAGGTGTGGAAAGTTGATGATATGTGTATATGTTGTGTAACTGTGTAAGTTGTGACGATTATGGTATGTATAAGTATGGTATGCAGTTAGGAAGTATGAAAACTGTGACTATGGCTATGGAAAGCCAATGCTTATGGTTGTGAGTATATATGTTTGTGATAAATTATTTTGCAGGACAAGTTGCAAGAACTGTTAGCCCATTACGCGAGTAATTCATGTCGAAATTTTATTTAGATAAATTTTGATAATTAATGTAACACCCGAGATTAATTCCGCTGCAATTGTATGAACAATATGATTAGGTAATACGTATAGGATAGGGTGTTACATTATATACAAAGAATACTAACGACACAAATTGACAAGACATGCATTCCTAACCAATGCGCACTTCATCTCTCTACTATGTTCGCTATATCGACAATAAATCTGTTGCTGCCGTTGAACTCAGCAACGATAAAATCCACGATTTTTGGTGACATCTCTCCCTCCCTTAGGGAAAATAATGGGTAATTAACATAAAAGGTCATAAACCTATTCACTTTGTACGAAACGGTTAAAAACCTTTCATTTTGCATGTTTCTGTAGCATACATTTGAGAGAATAACGAAATGGTCATTTCGTTCATCTCCATCCAAAAAACTATTTATTTCATGCAGCCAGCACACCATGTCACTAAAATTATTAATAAAAATTTAATAACCAAATCCAATGGAACCGGACAACCCTAACTCTTTAATTACCCTCTTGAAAAACCATCCATACTTCCTCTACCGGCGTCGCACTCGCAACAGCTAGCCGCATATCTGTGGTCTTCATTATCTCCTTCTTGTCGGGAGCAACCTCGACGAAGACGATCCCGATGGCCGACACCACAATGACCTTCTCCGTGCGCAACAACATGACATAGAAGAGTCAGGATCTGCTGGTCTATTGCCGGTCCGGCGATGACGACATCGGAGAAAAACACGTTTCCTTCCGCGGCAATTATGCCTTCAGCTTTGAGCCCATGATATGTGGAGGGACGAAGTTTTGGTGCAACCTAGAACTAGATTCCAACCGGCATGTAACATCATGATCCTTTTAACCAAAACTATAAAAGTGCTGCCCCAGAGCAGAATAAAATTTCGTAAAAAACATTAAAATGAGGAAATAAAAACTAAATAATTTCTTACAACTCAAATGCAAAGCCCTAAACAGTTGGCCAACTTTAATCCATAAATCTTAAAATACAAACTCTTAATCTCTAGTTTATACTCATAATCATAAAACGAAATACCCAAACAGTTCCCACTACGACTTCTTACTATGATCCTTCTTGGACATCTTCACTAATGATGATGTTGCTTGCCTCGCACAATCTCCTCTCGAGCCACTCGCTCTCTATCTCTTTCTCTACCTACTGAGTGAGAAGGGGCCAATCTACGCCACTACAAATTTAAAGAACTCAATAAATAATAATCTTAAACATTTTTTTTACTTTGCGGCAGTTGTTCTCACTCCCTTCCTTTAACTTTATCCTTTAAATGAGTTGTGTGAGTTGGAATTACTCACCACGCTTAACCTCAAAACTAGACACTCCTTAACCTATGACCACCACTTTCGTATCGTCTTCCCATGTCATAACCTCCTGGGAAATGGCCCGCGTTTCGATTCTTCGTCCGGTGCCATAAGTAAGGGTGGGCATCGGTCTGGTCCCGACCGGATCAGACCAAACTCAGGAGAATCGCGGTCCAATAGTGAAAGATATTTCAGGACCAAGGGCCAGATCAATAGTGCATTCTGTCCGCTTTGGTCCATTTGGTCCGGTTCAAATGTAAATTCAATCCATTTTTCTACAGTATTTTTAAAATTCATAGGACCAAGGACCGGCCCATATTATATTTGATTCGGTGTGGTCCAGTCCAAACATCGATTCGGTCCGGTATGGACCAACCCATTGCCCACCCCTAGCCATAACCTCCTAGGAAATGGCCCGCATTTTGATTCGTCGTCCGGATCCATGCCTGATCAATTACTGTGTATCGTATCGTTGTCCAGTAGTGATCCAACCACCCCGAAGGTTTCCTTTCCTTACTAACACTCACTCATCACATACACCTCATATAAACATAATCTCAACCTTCATTAGGCGGTGAAGTACCTCAAAAATACACATCGCATCACATCATATCACATCACATACACTTCAAAACCTGTACTCACCTTCAGTAGGTGGTGGGTTACCTCAAAATCTTGTCCTCAACTTCGGTAAGCAGTGGGTTACCTCAAAATCTTGTACTCACCTTCAATAGGCGGTGGTTTACCTCAATAAACATCCATAGGCCTCATACATTCTCAATTCTCCTAGTTCAATGCCTCGGAAAAAGGAATCTTCAACCATGTATCTCGAGTATATATATAACTCATAACTGAAAGCTTTCATTAATAAAGCTTAACCTTAAGAACTCGGTGTAGAATTTACCCCATTTACACTCACCTCAAAAGGATGACTCATATTCCTTACTCAAAGAAATTCCTCGTTCGCCGAATTATCTTGGGAAAACCTATGAATCAGAAATTCAATTCTAGACGACATTCCTCAAAATTGCTAGAACACACTCTCCTCAAAATCAAATCCTTGAACTTGAACCACTTTTCAAAGTCTCCTTAACCTCCTTTAAAAATTTTCTTGAGATAACTCCTTTCAAAATCGGCCCTTTTTCTAATTAAATTCATTTTGGATAAATTTTTAGCCCAACTTAATCCTCCTTAAAAATCCAGACCATAATTTCCTCAGGTCGAACATAATGACTTGTCTCCTGGAAAATTATCAAATCTTTAAAAACACCTCAACATGATTTTTAGTTAATTGAAATCAAGCACCTCCTGGACCTCGTCCAATTTATAAAATTGTTAAACCCGAAAAGAAACTCTTGTAGTCGTTTGAAACAATTTAAAAAACTTAAATCGTGTTTATAGAAATTTTCTACAGGTTTAATGACCAACCAAAACTGTCACTAATAGCCTGTAAAATTGTTGCTAATTTTCCAGAACTGCACCCTAACAAAAAATCACAAGAAAACTCATTTCAACTTTAATGGATCGAGTTCCCTTACCTCTAGAACGTGCCTAGGTTCATATTCTAAGACTTTGAACTTTGATTCTGAAATTCGCCACCGATATAACCCGGATTCCTTGTCGTTAAACTACGGTTCACGATTGACGGGTTCATGTAAACAGAAATCATAATAGTATGGATCTTAGAATTAGATGATTTCACGAACCGGTAATAGATCAAGGAAACCTACCTCGATCTATGACGAGAGCGGCGGCGGCGGCTTGAGTAGTAATCACCGGAATTGAGTTTCTCCCTCTTGACCCCTTTAGGTTTTAGGTTTAGAGATTTCTATGACGGCTCAGAAATTCTACGTAATGGGTTGAGAGAGAACCAATCCTAGGGTTTCTTTATATAGACCCACCATCAGGGTATATTAGGAAATTACCTTTTTCATTAACCTAACCAATATATGACTTACCTTATATATTAAACCATTAAGTGATAATTACACTTGGACCACAATTATTCCCTAGTGATCCATACGGGAATTGGGCTTACATTCTCCCACTTGGCCCATGTGTCATTATATATCACAAGATCTAATAATAAACATAAGTGTGCACATCATAAGATAAATCCATAATATTTGGTTCACCATAAAGTCATAATCAAGTATGAAAGCTAGATTAGGATCATGGCGGTTCTATATCAATTTATCGACATAGTCCCTTCCATGTACCACAAAACCAGTTTCATGGTCAATTTGACACATAACAAGGTATTCATAATGGTCCAACAATAATGTCTTTCCTAAAGACAAAATCTTGTTCTGTCCACATAATTCATAATGTATATATACTGATCATAATAAACAAGACAAGATTCGTAACTTTATTCCAGAAACAAAATAAATGAGCTCAAAGTGTCAATCCATGAAACATAAAATAACTTTAGTCATGACGTCCTATAATCCCCATCCTTTCAACATGTTCAGCAAATGTCTTAGGAGGCAATCCTTTTGTTAATGGATCAGCAATTATAAGCTGTATGCTAATATGCTCGATCGACACCCTTTTTTCTGAACTTCTTCCTTAACGACAAAGTATTTCACCTCCATATTCTTATCACCCTTCGAATACTTGTCATTCTTAGAGAAGAATACTGCTGCGGAATTATCACAGTAAATTTTCAGTGGCTTGGCGATAGTGTCGACAATTCCAAGTCCATAAATAAAATTCTGCAGCCATAAACCATGATTCGTAGCTTCATAACACGCTATGAATTCAGCTTCCATAGTGGATGTGGCAATAACAGACTGCTTCGCACTCTTCCATGAAATTGCCCCTCCAGCTAGAAGGAACAAGTAGCTAAAAGTAGACTTCCTGGTGTCTACACATCCAGCATAATCTGAATCTGAATATCCAATCACCTCAAGGTGATCAGATCTCCTAAAGGTGAGCATGTGGTCTTTTGTTCCTTGCAAATACCTTAGTACCTTCTTTGCATCTTTCCAATGATCTACTCCTGGATTACTTTGATACCTGCCCAGCATTCCGACAGCAAAACTGATGTCTGGTCTGGTACAAGTTTGTGCATAATTCAAACTTCCAACAATAGATTCATAAGGAATGTGTTCCATTTGCTTGCGTTCCAATTCATTCTTTGGACATTGTTTGAGACTAAATTTATCTCCCTTCTGAATTGGAACGACATTTGTAGAGCATTCAACCATGTTGTATCTCTCTAGGATCTGGTTAATGTATGATTTCTGAGACAATCCCAACAGTCCTTGTGATCTATCACGAAATATTTCTATTCCAATCATAAAGGATGCCTCACCCAAATCCTTCATTTCAAAGTTCATAGAGAGAAACTACGTGGTTTGATGTAATAAACCAAGATCATTAGTAGCAAGCAAGATATCGTCAACATACAGAAGTAAAATTATAAACTTGCTCCCACTAATCTTCAGATATATACATCGATCGACGATGTTCTCCTTAAATCCAAAAGATGTAATGGTATCATTGAACTTAATATACCATTGTCGGGAAGCTTGTTTAAGTCCGTATATTGACTTCTTTAATTTACACACCATATGTTCTTTTCCCTCAACCACAAAACCTTCAGGTTGATCCATATAGACTGCTTCATCTAAATTCCCATTCAGAAAGGCGGTTTTCACATCCATCTTATGGAGCTCTAGATTATAATGAGCTACCATTGCCATGACAATCCTTAAGGAGTCTTTCTTAGAGACAGGTGAAAATGTCTCTTTATAGTCAACACCACTTTTCTGAGTGAAACCTTTGGCAACAAGTCTGGCCCTGTGTCTTTCGATATTGCCATTAGAGTCGTGTTTGGTCTTCCAGACCCATCTATTACCAACTCTTTTACAACCTTCAGGCAAATCAACAAGGTCCCAAACTTCATTTTTATACATAGATTTCATCTCTTCTTTCGCGGCTGCTAACCATTTATCAGAATGCTCACTTTCCATGGCTTGTGAAAATGAAACTGGATCATGATAGAGTCCTAAGTCAGATTCTAACCCGTGAAGATAAACCTCATAATCATTCGAAATTGCAGGTCTTCGATTTCTTGTAGACCTTCTTAATGTGATTTCTTGTGGTTCATCTATGTTAGGTTCATTCTCAATAGCAATATTTTGTGGTGCTTGACCGTTCATTTGTTGTTCTTGCAAATCGTTATCATGCTCAACATGTGCAGGAGCAACAACTTGAGAAGAGGGAAGAGGCAAAGAGATTTTCACTCTAACTTCTTGAATTTCCACATTACGTGGCTCTAAGCTCCCACTAACTTCAGCATTCTCAATGAACCTAGCATTTCCAGTTTCAACAATTCTTTTACTATGGTTAGGGCAATAAAATCGATACCCCTTACATTTTTTTGGATAACCAATGAAGAAACCACTGATTGTTCGTGAGTCCAGTTTCTTTTCATGTGGATTATATATTCTCACTTCCGCTAGGCAACCCCAAACATGCAGGTGCCTTAAACTGGGTTTCCTTCCCGTCCACAGTTCAAAAGGTGTCTTAGGAACTGCTTTACTAGGAACCTTGTTTAACAAATACACAGTGGTCCTTAAAGCGTGCATCCACAATGATTTGGGTAAAGATGAATTGCTTAACATACTCCTAACCATATCCATTAAAGTATGATTCCGCCTTTCTGCAACACCATTTTGTTGCGGTGTTCCTGGCATAGTGTATTGAGCACAAATACCACGTCTTTCTAGGAACTTAGCAAATGGACCAGGACACTGTCCACTTACATCATATTTTCCATAATATTCTCCACCTCTATCAGATCTGACAATTTTCACCTTTCTTTCTAATTGCCTCTTAACTTCATTGATAAACACCTCAAGGGTATCTACCGACTGAGATTTTTCATGCAGCAAATAGATATATCCATAACGTGAAAAATCATCGATAAAGGTAATGAAATACTTTTCTCCACCAAGTGATGGAACATCAAAAGGCCCACAAATATCAGTGTGTATAATTTCAAGGAGCTGTGAGCTTCTTGTGGCTGCTTTCTTAAGTGTCTGTTTTGTGTGTTTTCCTTTAATACACTCAACACAAATTCCAAGGTTAGTAAAATCCAAATGAGGAAGGATTTCATTCTTTACTAATCTTTCCATTCTTTCTTTGGATATGTGACCCAAACGTTTATGCCACAAGTAAGCAGAGGATTCATCAAACAAACCACGCTTAATACCAATATTATGATGCAAGGTTAAGAGAGTCTCAGCGAATAGGGTATCAAGCTTTAGTTTGTACAAACCATCAACAAGGGTACCAGAACCCAATAAAACATTATGTTTGAACAAACTAATAGAACCATTTCCAATGTTCCAAAAATACCCAGCCTTATCTAGTTGAGACACCGAAACCAAATTACGAGAAATAGAAGGATCATAAAGGGTATTGACAAGGTCCAAATGATGACCAGTATCTAAAACCAAACGATAAGTCCCAATAGCTTCAGCTGGAACTTTGGCTCGGTTTCCCATATAGATGAACTTCTCATTTTGCCTTATGGTTTGGGTCGTAAGGAATCCCTGCATCGTTTTGGAAACATGAATGGTACAACCAGTGTCAACCCGCCAAGTATTATAAGGAACCTCAATTAAATTTGATTCGAAACATACTACAGCACTAGGCTTACCCTTTCTTTCGAACCATGCCTTTCTTTTCAAGCAATCTTTCTGATAATGTCCGGCTTTCTTACAAAAGCGGCATATATCCTTACTTGGTTCCTTCTTGTAGATTTTGGCAGATGACTCATTAAGCTTTGATAGTCCTTCATTGCCCTTCCCATTCTTGTTCCATGGTTTCTTTCCAGCTCCTTTATGACTAACCAAGCATAAAGGAATCCTTGCATCGTTTTGGAAACATGAATGGTACAACCAGTGTCAACCCACCAAGTATTATAAGGAACCTCAGTTAAATTTGGTTCGAAACATACTGAAGCACTAGGCTTACCCTTTCTTTCGAACCATGACTTTCTTTTCAATCAATCTTTCTGATAATGTCCTGCTTTCTTACAAAAGCGGCATATATCCTTACTTGGTTCCTTCTTGTGGATTTTGGCAGATGACTCATTAAGCTTTGATAGTTCTTCCTTGCCCTTCCCATTCTTGTTCCATGGTTTCTTTCCATCTCCTTTATGACCAACAAGATTGGCAGAATGATTTCTTGGTTTCTTAAGCCTTGCTTCCTCTTGAATGAGCATACTTTGTAACTCATGCACATTCCATTTATCCTTTAGAGTATTGTAATGCACATGGAATGTGCCATACTCTGGAGGTAAGGAATTAAGGATGAACGTTACTAGGAAATTTTCATTCACTTCCATTCCCATGGTCTTTAGTCTTGCTGCAATATTCGTCATTTCGACGATATGCTCATGCATGGTACGAGAACCATCAAACTTCATGGTGGTTCGCGTACCCATTAGTGTCCCAGCAAGCGACTTATCAGTAGACTCAGATTGAGAGCTTTCTTTCACGGAATTCATAAATTCCTTAGCACTTTCAGTATCATTGAAAGTTGACTTAATGTTGTTTGCTACAGTCATTCGCATAAACATTAGGCTTAGTCTGTTAGATCTTTCCCAAGCTTTATGGAAAGACTTCTCCTCAGCACTGCTAGCATCAGTAAGAGCAGCAGGTTTCTCACTTAAGAGTGCCAAATCAAGATCCAGAACACAGAGGTGAAACTGAACCTGTTCAGCCCATTCATAGAAGTTGAGGCCATTAAACTTAACAACAGACGTGACTTGCGAATGAAGAGAAACAGGAACAGATGCTGCAAACATATATAACATGTACTCACATATTAATGCTTTGGGTAATAAGCATAAACTATAATACAGATTTGGAAGCATAAACATAAAATATATATTGGTGCTACCTTTGGGCAAAACAACAATATATATGCGATAAATAATCATAATTGATGCTCAAAATAATCATATAATTGGTGATAGACATACTCAAATTAATATACTTGCAATCTTTGGATATACTAAATATATCTAACCAAGCATATCAATTTACCACAATAATGTTCATGAATTATAAAACGAGCAATCAACCTTTGGGCGATTCAAAATATTTTATAATCACGAACTTCAACTTAAAAGCATCACATAAACATTAGCAGTTGAACTTGATTCAACTTGATATCTATAAACCTTCTAATTTGACCACTTTGGTGACTAACAAATTAATCATAAATTAGATATCAAATGTAAAATTTTAACTTAAGGTAAGACAATTGTTAAGAATGCTTTGAAATACGCAGACCCAAAACTTGAGTCTCCAATTACATACTGTTACTAATGGAAAAACAATATTAATCATCATTGAGACAAACATAAGGCTTTATCAACCTTCCCAAACTCTTAATTAATCGAACGCATATACAAAAGAAATTGTAATCATCCCTAATTGCTTTTATCATGATTTTTAGTTGAAAAGGAAATAAAGGCAAGATACTGTCATCACAATTCATTATAATTGAGGAAACAAACATATCAATATATCATGTAAGCATAAACATATATGCACTACACATATATATGTTCTTGATAAACGGCGAATAATTGCTCGACAGACAGAAGACCAACTGCAAAGAAGTTAAATACAGTTGTGTACAAATCTCGAACGCGTGGACTCAATAGAATAAACAGATGATCAATCAGAAGCATCAACAAGCTTTAATCATGCATAAGCGATTGATATAAACGCAGCGGAGACTAATCGAGCATAATACATAATCGAAAATCATCCATTCATATAAACCCTAAGGCTCTGATACCACATGTAAACATCGAAATCATAATAGCATGGATCTTAGAATTAGATGATTTCACGAATCGGTAATAGATCAAGGAAACCTACCTCGATCCATGACGAGAGCGGCGGCTTGAGTAATAATCACCGGAATTGAGTTTCTCCCTCTTGACCCCTTTAGGTTTTCGGTTTAGAGATTTCTATGACGGCTAAGAAATTCTACGTAATGGGTTGAGAGAGGACCAATCCTAGGGTTTCTTTATATAGACCCACCATCATGGTATATTAGAAAATTACCTTTTTCATTAACCTAACCAATATATGACTTACCTTATATATTAAATCATCAAGTGATAATTACACTTGGGCCACAATTGTTTCCTAGTGATCCATACGAGAATTGGGCTTACAGCTCAGGTTAATTTGATTTATCAAACAATCTTGGAAACGACTTGAAAATATCGTCCTTACCTTTCTCGGATAATTTCACGATCGAGGCTGGTTGAGGGAAGCAGGGAGGGCGGCTGGGGCTTGCGTCGGGAAAGGAATGGCGGCGCCCTTCTTCTCTTTCTTACATTTTTCTTTTATTCTCAAACTGTTGTTGTCGTTGCTGCACATTGCAGGAGCCGAGAGGGGAAATTGGGGAAGGATTTTAAGTAGGAATGGCAATAGGGCAGGTCCGGGGCGGGTTTCTTGGTATCCAGACTCGCCCCGTGACAGGTCGGGTCCAGGTCGGGTAATTGATCACGGGTCGCGGGTCGGGGCAGGTCAACCCAATGGGTATGCAATTTATATGAAAAACATTAGAAATATTCGTTATTTTTATTATAAGACTAAGAAAACAAACAATATTATGACAATTGTAGTTAAATTATTGGAGAAATTGAGATTTTTACTAATTTACAACTTTATTATAGCTAAAATATGATGCAATAAAAGGAAAATTCTCAGTAATTTGACTAAGATTACATGTGATTTAGACAAGAATGGGTCGAGAATGGGGCGGGTCAGGCCAGGTCGGGTCGATGAGACTACCCATGCCCGCCCCGCCCCGCCTACGGGGCAGGTCGGACCCGCCCCAAAACAGGTCAAACAGGTCGGGTAAAACGGGTCAGGTCGAAATTGCCATCCCTAATTTTAAGGGGTCAGGGCGAGGGAATTTGCTGGGGATAATTGACGAGGGAGTGGATAGGGGCTCAAGATAGAGTGCATAATGTTAAGTTGCATAATTATTAGTAATTAAATATAGATTATCTTTTAAGTGGCTGCAGATCTAAAATTGGAGAATGAAAGGAATTTATTATTTCTAGTTTTTTTAATTGGATCATATCTTCTTCATTATAAAAGTGAAAACAGATGTAAAACCACTGTCAACTTGGATCAGGAATAAAAGTGCACAGCGCCAAACTTAGTAACAACTAAAAGCCTCCCTTCCAGCAAGCATCTTTTCTTCATAAGGTTCAGATAACCAAACAAGAAAATTTAAAAACTATTTGAAAGGGCAAAGAGGAATCTTGTCCTGGATTTAAATGATTCATATACAGATGTAAAACCACTGCCAACTTGGTCAGGCATAAAATTGCACAGGTAGAACTAGTAAAAACTAAGAGATTCCTTCCAGCCAGCATCTGTCTTCACAAGGTTCAGATAACCAAACTTCAAAATCATTTGAAAGAGTTAACAGAAATGTTTTTCTGGATTTAAGTGATTCATATCACAGATAAAACCTTTATAGTCGATGAGGAAAATTGGCAATTAGTAAGGTGTAATTCTCTTTGATTTCTTTTAGTTGATTGTGGCCTCAAGCATATACCTCAAATCTGACTTGTTTAGTATATAATAAAACACCTGTTCTTTTGGGAATCAAAATATCAATGGTCATTCATAACAGTTGAAGTCCTCGTAGGATGAAAGTTTAGAGGAGCAATAATGCAGTTATTTGGTGCCAAGTACCAGCTTATCTCATTCTCATACCTGCAGCAACTTTGCTAGTCGGCCTATTGATGTATCGTTTTGAGTGCCATGGAGAAAGATACCTCTGATCAGTCCTGTTGAAAGAGTCATTTACAGGAAACACCACCTGTGGCACCACCACTTTTCACTAGCTTAGCACGTGGACCTCCGGCTTCACCTTGCGCTTCGTTTGACATCTGCTGCCTGGTCCGTGGGTAAATGTAGTTGAAATTCCTTGGTTCAGTTCTAAGAGAAGGGAAAAGCTGCCGCCCCAGTATACTGAGATCTTCTGCCTGAAGTAACATATTTGTCAATTCACTTGGATTATTAACTTCTTGGTAACTGAACACCATCACCCCTTAGCAAGAATCAGAAAGCTTACCACTTCATAATATACCGAATTCGACATGTTGAATCTCATAGCATTATCGAATACCAGGAACACATCACGCTGCAGAAAGAGTTCATGCAGAATATCAGAACCCATCTCATGGTAATGACTCAGTGGGAAGGCATAAACTTAGTAAATAGTGGCTTTTCTCATGGAATAAACAGCTCGCGTTATTTTGCATCTGCTGTTTACTTCCATGAAGAGGACAAATATGACTTGAAGATCATGACTTTTTCACATAGCTATTCTGATTCCCATAGAGGAGGGTTCAGATGCTAAAACCTCTGATTTAGAATATAGTGATGAAGTATAAAACATATATTCTTCTTATTTGTTGTCAACTTGGAAATAATAAGTTTGGTATTAAAAGGTACATAAGGAAACAAGTTGCATTGATATGGGATGTGTAGGGAAACATGAAACAAGCTAGAAACTTTCGCAAACACAAGAACAGAAATACTTATATTTGGGTTCCAAGAAAAACCTCGAATTGTTCCAAGCTTGTATACATTTCTTCCTGAAGTTTAGCCCTCATTGTTCCAAAATCCATTGGGTCCTTGACAACATCGTAATAGCCAGCCACCTCAAAATGAGAGGAATATACCAGCAAGGGGCATGAGAAAAAGAAAATTGTCTTGCTGCAATGTGTGAATGAGGCCCAACTACCAACCTCTGTAGGGTCATCCGGCTCTGCAAATAACTCTTGAACGTCTCTCCTGTGTCACACAAGCTGATTAAAGTACTTTGCTTTTGCATTGAATGTAAATGGGATCCAGAGTACAGTAGACTCAGGCAAACGCAATTACCGCTGAAGTACGTCAAGGATAAACTCCAATGCTCCTTTGTTTGGTGTAGGCTTTCTGAAGGATTGTTTGAAACTGCAGCTTTACTCTTCCAGCAGCTGGTGGTGCTTATTTTAATCCAAAAGCAACCTATGCAAAGATTGTTTGGTGTAGGCTTTCTGAAGGATTGTGATTGAAGTAGAGCCTATTACTTGCTACAATCCACCGTCCAAAAGCAGACTGCATTTCCACTGCATGCCACCTGGTTCAAGATTTTTTCTCAAATGTGAACCAGAGAACTAAATGACAGCCCAGGTGATAGCTGGTCGGAGCCTTATGGTGCAGTCACCATGTCCTTAACACATAAGTCCCTGTTGAAATCTATTGATCAATTACCCAAAATACCCCCAACCCCTGCAGGTTCAGTCCTCCAAACACGACCCAAGACCATTCACCACATGCAAAATCTCGCCAATGAGTTCAGAATGACTTCAAATACAAGCATGCAAACTACAGAAAACGCCACATATAATCAAATAATACAATGTAAGTGTATCCAGAAAAGAAAACTGGACCTACTGCAGGTTAACCAATTACCTATGCCATGAGAAGATATGGAAGTAAGGATGTCAATTGAAATTGAAATAGTTAGTAAATCACGCTACCTCGGAAAGGAAAGGTACTTATTATCCTACTAAAGATGGACATTGAAAACAAAAAGCGTCTAGAGAAAGCAAATACAAAGATATCCCAAACCAGAACATTCTGCACGGCACCAAATGTAGCTAACGCACGAATCGACTGACCTATCCAGCAAGAAGATATCCGAGAATGAAGATACTTCTTAAAACAATTAGTTGAATAGACAGCCGGAAAGGAAAGGAAATCAACAACCTATCAGAGAGGGAAATCCTTAGAGAGTAACTGAGCGTCTAGCAAGTGATAGAAAACACTTACAAGCAACTGAGCGTCTGCAACCTTGATGTCTTGAAAATCGCAGAAACCCAATCTCTTTTCAAAACAGATCTGATAGCTATAATCAAAACAGTCTCTTATAAATCAAAACGCTCATATGGATTAAGACACTCAGAATCCGTGTCGATAATCAGGCTGTTACGTGGTGCAATCAACTCGACAACTGTACGGTGATTCCATTACTTATTGACTCCCTTTTCAGCAGAAATTGCACATCTGGCACAATGTAAGTACAGTAGGAAAGGCTTCATCTATATGACAAAGTAACTTAGGTCAGCTCAAACATATTAAAAAACTCCCATGTAAAACAATTGCATAAGAGCACAAATTCTCAGGAAAGAGCAGAATGCAAGCAAACCAAATGACAACAATGTACTACAAACATACATGAATATGTCTCAGCAAAATGCCTGCATGCATGCAACACAGGCTTATGATGCATCCGAATCTCAAAACATGTGGCACTCACCAGAAAGACGAACCCAACAAATGCATTACCAAACCTGAACTTTCCCAACTTCAAAACATCCACGTATAGATTAGTGGTCCAGAAAGCTGTTATTCTTATTCGAATATGCACAATCAATAGTACAAGAGAAATCATCGTCAGCAATGAGTCCTTCGTTACTCTAAGCAAAAGAAGTTAGGCATTAATGTAGAAAATTGACCCAGCAGTTTCTCGTGGCTCTTTATGTTTGTGATTGACAACTAGGAGGTGCAAATACATATCTCAACATGATTCCAGTGGCACACATCTATAATATAAGCATGGCATTGGTTTCTTCTCATAATTGTCATGTTGCCTTAGTACACATTCACTCACCACAAATCATGATGCCGTCAACCACTGCTCCGCAGTTTTTTTCTATCAATGTTTGCTCAGTAATATATATGAAGAGAACTACATTTTGCTTCACTAGCCTCCTACACGCAAGCAGGACTAAAATGGCATGCAAAGAGACGATCATGCCCCCAGCTTGACTGCTGAATCATTGACATCCACAGTATTATTTTGCTGTCCCCATAGCTGCGCATATCTCCCCGCGTTGGTCAAGAGGACTTCATGTGGTCCCTGTTCAACCACCTTCCCATTCTCCAAAACTATTATCTGGAAACCATAATCAAATGGACAAAAGAAATCATACACAGTAAGTGAAAGCAACAGCAGACGTAACTTATTGCTGCTGTGCTAATAACCCATAGTTGGAATGAAACTATACATTTTGGAGGATATTATAGACAAGGACAACAGGAAACATCCCTATGGCTCAGATGACATTTAAATTTCTCCTCCATGACAAGCTTGTAATTATTATTTATACTACAGATCACTTAGAAGCTCAAGATCCATGCATTGCACAATTGAATTTCAACTTGTGTTATATTGGTGACGACTATATTAGTAACATTTACAATGGTACCTACAAACGCCCAAGCAGTCAATATTTAGGATAACAGTCCATCCCTTGACGAACTCAACCACTATGTTACTTTTCAAGCAGAGTCAGAGTTACGATATAAGTTTGCAGCATTAACATTGTCATTAGAGGTGGAAAATCATTTGTTCCCCACTAAAGTGAAACATTGAGCCAACGTGTTAAACTGCTCAAACAGGATCGTTACATGATTTGATTATATTCTGCTTTGAAGTAAGATATTACCAGTTTTCACTTTCAAATGATAAAATGATGTTTTTGTGGTGAGAAGGGGTACAGTACTAAGCAGAGGATCCAAAAAGGTTGAAAGAATATGTTCAACTACTGGGAAAGAGAATGATGGCAAGCAGTTTAGCCGACACTTAATTTTCAGCACCATGTTAGATTGGAGACAAATGCGTACCTCATCACATTGCATTGCAGTAGTAAGTCTATGGGCAATAAAAACTGAAGTACGATTATCAGCTAATGACTTGAGCGCAGTTAGTATCTCAGCCTCTGTCGTGCTGTCAAGTGCACTTGTTGCCTCATCACACAGCCTGAGATATTAGCACAAGGAACTTTAGACTTAATTGCAGCAATTGTCAAATCAATTAAAATATGAATTCTGCAAATAACAAAGACGTCGGGCGGAAATGTCAAATTGGAGTCCATCTTTTCCATGAAGGAATGGAATCTTAGTAGCCAAGGGGTTCTTTATCATCCTTGTTCAGGATTCAAGTTTTACAGCTAAACACAAGCCGTGGATGTTCCATAGGCGGATGCAGTCTTTCTTACAGTCAGGTACTGCTTTGATCATTTGAAAGTAGCATATACTTCCCACCAAAAAACAGCAAAACTGAACTTGGAACAAACAGATAGGTAAACACAAAATATATTAACTTTCTGCATAATTCCTCTTGGGGATCGTCTGAAGCCAACATACATGCAGCTGATGGCTTATAATAAACAAAATGTCTTCCCTCCGTAAGTACCAACACTACTTTGTGATTTATAGTAACTTCAGATTTCACTTCTTCACAGTCAATTTCAGGTAAAAAAAAACTATAACAGAGAAGAATGACCTAAATAAGCCAGAACCTTTGGCTGATTACAGTCTTGAGACTTTGGAAAGGAAAATAAATTTAGTAACACAAGGACCTATTAAATGGTATTGTTCTACTTTTTCATTTTTGAGATTGAGAGTTGGCATCAGGTGCAACTACTAAGAGAAGAAGCTGCTTACTCAATGTCACAAAACTTATACAATTGTGTTCTTACAGAATTGGCGGCGCTTTCAGGAATGCACGAGCCAAAGCAACCCGCTGCTTTTCACCACCACTTAACTGAACAGAAAGGCACCCTAATCAATCTCAATTCAAGAATATGGACAGTCAAAATAATCTATGCTGGTTTAAAAAAGTATAGACAATCAGCTACAAACTTATAAGAATAAGTACTCTTTTTTAATGGATCACAATGACCAGGAATAAACCAATGACAAAAAAAAAAAACTTGAAAGCACATAACATTGCACCAATCTCACAGAGATTTATTAAAATGTGCAACTTTATTGGGAAGACGATAGAAAGGACAAGCAGAGCATGATTAAGTTAACAGCAAGTGACTTCTCACCTTAAGCCCGCGTTCTCCAACCACAGTTGAGTATTTCTCAGGGAAGTTCATAATAGTATCGTGAATGGATGCACGCCGAGCAGCATCATAAACCTGAATGCGAACAGTTGTAAATGGAGAAAGAGAACCCAGCTCACCAGATCATGGTCCTCAGAACAGCGAAGCTAATAAGTTGACCATTTCATGATCCTCGGAATAAGATACTCACCTCGTCTTCACTTGCTGAAAGACGACCATAATGGATGTTGTGGTATATTGTATCATTAAAAAGTACCTGTAAATGGAGAAACACAACCCAGCTGATCAACAATATAAGTTGTAATATAAAAGAGAAGATTTTCATTAGTTCACACCACAGAGGTATATGGACAAAATTTAGCTGCTTCAACTAACTTACAGTATCTTGTGGCACAACACCAACAGAGCTCCGTAGAGTATCTAATTCAATATCCCGTATGTCCTGGCCATCAATTCGTATCTGGGAAGAACCAATTTCAAAGTTCTAGTCTTATTACAGGGACAACCCCAGTAGCAGTGGTAAACTATCGGACTTCAACAGGAGAAAACTCATCAAAGATAAAAGCAAAAAAGCCAAAGAAATAGGGGAGAAACCTTCTGCCAAGTCTTTTACAAGAGTTCAATCCAGATTTCTATGCTTTAGGAGCAGCTATCGAAGGAATATATTTTTGGTCATTATGATCAGTTGCAGTTTTACTTTTTGTTAACTGCTTCAAAAACCTTCTTCTGCTATCTGTGAATTTAGATATAAGACAAGCCAATTTCTTTTTCCTTCCTGTCTTATTTCCTAAAACGTGAAGGATGTTGTAGGTAAATTCAATGTACATTTATCAGAAAGAAAATTTCAGCTCTTACACTTCCAGCATGGGTGTCGAAAAATCTGAAGATTAGTCTAAGAATGGTAGACTTGCCTGCATAGAACAAAACAGAAACATAAGTGTCCTACATTGGCGCACAGCACAGTGTGCAAGCTTCTGTGACCATTATAACAGTTGTTGCCTGAAAATCATGAGGATGCATATTTTCTCTATCAGAAAGCACAGTTGCACATCTGTCAACTATTAAGGCACATTAAGTAAATTAAAACACAACCATTCGATTTCCAACTATCGGAACTTTATGTGGATTACTTTCCCGCCTTAATGAGTGTCACTTTCATCCCTATTTAGGTTTTCACATTTTAGGACCTTATTAGATTACGTTTCACATGTATTGAAGGCTGATGGGATTTTAATAAGTTTTGGATTTACGAGCATACAGCTGGCCAAGTAGTTTCCATAACCATCGGTAAATGTGGCACCACTCCGACATTAGGGGACGGATAAGCTTTAGGTTTCTCGTAGTTAGTAGCAGATAACAATTGGAAAAAAGGATAGGACGCTGAAGACTTGAAAACATTGGAATTGAATTTTCCAACCTAATCTAAGCTCAAAGTTTCAACTTCAGCGACTAAAACTTAAAATAAAATAAGTTCAAACATTAGAAAGGTTTCTACAAGTTTAGAAGTATATGTATTAACAAAATAGTAACTTTAACAAAGCACAAAATATTTCACCCACCAATTGATGAATACGAGTATAAATGGAGAAAGGATACCCCTCTAATCTTTTTTTCCTATATCCTTCAATATTTTAATTTAGAAAGCTAAATACCCACTAAGCGTTACCAAATTCTAATCTTTCTCATTCTCCCAAAACTTAAATTTCAACTCCTTAAAGAAAATCTAATTGGTCCTATTTTTGGAGTACAAACAAGATTCTTAAATTTAGATCAGACAAAATGAACACAGTTCCTAAGGTCACCGTAAGGTTGAGAGGCACTATGGTCCTCACAGTGTCCTACATTTCACATTCGTAGCAAGATTACATGTCCCGGAACATAATGACTGAATTTGCATCATCAGTCAAAAGACATTTAGGACATCAAATTGTCCTCAATGAACAAAGCATGACAAAAATGACGAAGTGAATGGGTAAGATGGTAAAAGAGAAAATAGCCCATCAACAGTTCAACCAAAATCCAAATATACAGAATCACACATTTAATTAAAAGAACACAGATATATATGAATGGAACTAAAATCTCACCACTTCCGCTTGTTCCCACAATGGCCACACTTTTTCCAGCTGGTACTATAAAAGATACACCATCGAGAATCTTCCTTTCAGGTAGGTAGCTGATAATACATTCAGGACCACAAACAAAGAGCATTGTAAAACAAAATCAGCTGTAGTAGTATACTATACACCTACGTCATCAACTGAGATATAAACAAGTTTCAAACTTTCTTTGGCCATAAAGTGCCCATCACAGAGTAATTAAAGCATTTCAACTACATACAAAATGCTCAAACCAAGAAATTACAAGACCACTAATTCAGGAAACCCATAAACTCTTGATGTGAAGTTCTGCAGCAATAAAAAGATAGACTTTTTTGTTTGAAAGTTGATGCAGATTGGAGCGGAAGGACAGGACATTAGCTTCAACTAGAAGTTTATATATTCTCTCCACAAAAAAGAAGAAGTTCATTCACTTTAACAAGTTTCCATCGAACTATCAGAGAGTAACATAAGTGGAACTATCACTTTGAAGATAGAACCAACCAACCCATCCTAATTGATAACAAAGAGCATTTGACTTTAGGCTTAATATAAGTGCACATTACGCGATGGAACTTTCTAAATCAAAAACCATGAGAACATAACAAAAAACATGGAATCGATTTTACCACAATGAATCCTGAACGCTAAAACAAAGAAGCTATTTGAACAAAGCGAAGTATATCGTGTGCGACAAAAAATTTATTTTGCTGCTAATGTCACTTGCTCTAATGTTTTTGTTACAGTTCAACAAGAGATTCCTGAACTTCTAATCATGGAAGAACCATAGTACCTGAAGGTCACACGGTCAAAATGTATGCTACCGCCATTTAACTTCAACGGTTTTGCACCTTCTTTATCAGTAATCTCAGCTGTCACCTGAGGAAATCCATCATTAAAACATGTACTGGTCATTCTTTGCTTTTCATCAAATCAATAAAAAAATACCATAAATGGTCTAATACAGGATATTGTACAGAAATAAAGTATTACCAATATCATATAATACTGCTACGATCAAACTGACGCAGAGGAACTATCTAGCCTCTCAAGCGTAATTAGTTTGACCATTTCGATCTAGTGTTTAAACTTGGTAGCCCACTTACAAAAAACTGATAGCTATAACAATTGGGATGGAAGATACTTATAACTGATCTGAATCCAAGTTGTTATAAAATGTTAAAAAAATATACCTCAAGCAGTTGAAACAATGACTTCATGTCAACTAAGCTCTGCACAGTTTCACGATAAACGCTGCCTAGGAAATTAAGTGGAAGAGATAGCTGGAAAAGCAGCCCATTCACCATAACCTGTTTTTTTTTTGTATTAAAACTGCAGTGTCATTGTGAGAGCACCATATGATGAAATGAGAATAATATAAACAAGTGGATATGGTAAGATTTACCAAATCACCAACAGTCATCCTGCCTTCCAAAATCCCATGTGAACAAAGAACCATAGCTGTTGATAGAGCTGTGCTGAATATTGCATTCTGGCCAAAATTAAGCCAAGCAAGACTCCGTTGTGTTTTTAAGGCAGCATCTTCATATCCTAGAAAGCAGGAAATTTTCAGAAAAGACATAAGAAGATATAGGTGATAGGAAAAGTGTGGCTACGTGAGCACAAAAGCATTTTAATTATTAGCATCAGACTAACAAGTTGCATGACCACTAGAAGAGCAGAAAATACTTGAAATTTTGTCCAAGGATGTGTAGGAGACAAACTATATCGAGTTTGTAGCCAAGCACTTGCACACATGCACACCTTACTTACGCAACCGTTTTAACTAATCTTGTTGACAAACCCGATTAAAACCTACGAGTATTTTATTTCAAGCTAATAACTAATGAACTTACTTTTTAAGAATTCATCATATTTATCAGTTTCATAAGCTTCGTTGTTGAAATACTTGACTGTCTGGAAAGGGGAAGAGATCATAAACATGCAAACAACAAATGTTAGGAAAAAATGAAATCTTAATGGAATAGTTCTAGCAACATGTTCTCACCTCATAATTGATAAGAGAATCAACTGCCCTGGTGCCAGCATCATTGTCAGCCTTATTCATGGCCTTCCTAAACTTTGTTCTCCACTAGAATGAGAAGCAGTTCAAAAGAAGTGACAGCATAAGCTTCAGTCGCTTGAGAATAGAGAAAGAGGTGAAACAACAAGAAAGACAAAGCGGCTTCCGGTAAAGGCTTCACATCCGTGGAAGCTTAAATCAGAAGAAATATTGCGGCTTCCCACAATACAATAAAATTTAGCTAAAGCAAGTCTACTAATCCAAGATGGGATAGCTGGAATGATAGACTACCAATTTTTTATGTTCACAACACAATGAAGATTATGATACCTGTGTCACTGACAATGTGAAAGCAATATATGCAGCAACAGAGAGTGAAGTGATCCATGCAAAAGGTGCACCAAAGTTGTAGGCCAGGATACCTGACACCATAGATATCTGAAAGAAAATGCAAGTTGAGTGTATGTTCATCGCCAAGAAATAAGTAAACAATTGCAGGGATTGAGTGCCAAAGCACATGATATGTTTTGACTAAAAATCTAAAGAATTCGTTGCTAGCACAAGCTCACATCAACACTAACAAGGACAGATGCATCTACTGAAACAAAATACTCCAGGATCAGGATAACTTAGAGAGCAGCCAAAGTAATAGAAGTACCTCTATGATGGTTGGTACAACATTGAAGACCATAGCAGAGAGGATAAAGTTTATCGCGCGGCTACCACGATCAATTATTCTATTTAATGCTCCAGTTTCTCGGCTGCACATAGAGAGACAAGTGCAGAAATGTATAGCAGTTCAAATGTTAAAAGCAAATCATATCAATAGCCAACAAGCAAAGGAACCAGTACCTGAGGTGATAACGGAGGTCAAGGTCATGCAAATGGGAAAAAACCTGTAATTGGTGGCAGAAGGAAAGTGGAAAGTGAACAAATGAGTATACAATAGGTGACCAAGAGGAGCAAATCAAGCAAACATCACATAAAACAGTGGTCCCTATCACACTGTGATGACGATTTTCCACAGAGAAGAAAATGATGTGGGACTCGAGAGAAAAGTTACCTTTCTCGATACCAACCGAATGGTGCGGAGAGCAACCTTAGAAAACACAGCAGTTCTCAACTCTGGCTCAAAAGAAATTCATTCAATATTTCAAAAAGATCAGGAAGAATACAAGCTTAAAAGAAACTTACGTAAAAACAAGAGAATGCTTGAAGATTATGACAATGCAAGCGGTAGCAATGACATTGGAATGGACAAAGGAACCACATATCATCAACAAGAGAAAGGTAAGGTACCATTAAAAGCAGCTGCCGTGCAGCGAGCTATGCCATACCCAATCAGGACAGAGGCAGGGGTAGCAAAAAGTACAGTGAGGGTGGAATTGGCAGCCGTGAAGGAAGCAAGTTCGGAGACATTGGAAGTGGCAGTGGTCAGCCAATCAACAGCAAGCTTGAAAAGGAAAGGCACCTGAACGTTCAAGACCTTAGCCCCGACGAGAAAGGTGAGTGCAGCGATAACCCTCATGCGGAATTCAAGGTTATCCTTCATCCACAAGTAAGTAGCTAGCCTCCGCAGGATTTTCATGTCCGCGACTTTCTCCTCCTGTGGTTTAGGAGTAGCGACTGGTGGCGAGCCGTTAACACTCTTGTTGGGAGTGGTACTACTACTAGCAGCAGCAGCTGAGGAGCTGGAGTAGAGAACGCGGCCATTGAAGCTTAATTTTTTCTGCTCATAGCAAACAAAGATCAGGAAAAGCAAATCCACAATGAGCAAATGAATTGATCAAACGGAAAACGTAAGTTGAGGGAGAAGCAAGACCCACCGGTTGCGGGAAGGAAGCAGAATCAGCTTGAAATGAATTAAGGTGCACCCGAAGCGGGATTCGAGCTGATGTCAAATTATTCCTCCGATTAAGCTTGGGCTGTGAATAATAATCAGCATAGCACACGGAAGAAGATGAAGCAGAACAGAAAGAACGCAAGGAAGAGGAGGTAAATTGGAGCCTTCCGGCTTCAGCTGCTCTGCACCACTTGCAAGTCGCAATTGCTGCTGCTCTACCGGCTCCCGCCATCATTCCCTCCGAATCTTCCCTTTTCCAACTTTCAGTCCAGACAGAAAATCCCGGAGAAGAGACCAACAGCGCAGCAGGCGGATAAGCCGGAAGTAGAGCTGGCGGCGGCGGGATTTTTGGCCACTTTTAATTTCGTTTCTGGTGGCGCCCAGGGCGGAGGTGATGGGCTGACTGCTGATGGCAATGGGTTGAGTTGTTCCGACCAAATCCAACTCACTGGTAGTATCCGTCAAAATAATTTGCTAAAAATTTCATTGAGTTTTGACTTTTGAAAGAGAAAATTGTACCCAATCGAGCGGTTGCTCAAGTGATTCGGGTCTAATTGTAGACATTTTTACCCCATTTTACTTATATGTTTGAAGCACTTTTACTTTGTGAGTTTTGGTTTTACGCTAGGTTGTAATTGTTTTAAGTATGTTTCAGATCCTAGCAGGTGAAATCGATCTCGGGAAAGAAAGTTGGACGAAAAGGAGCGAAAACGGATCAAAAAGGGAGCAGTCAACAAGAGTTCACAGTGGAGGCCAGAAGTTCACGGTCAGCCAGACCGTGATGACGAGGTGCAAATCGTGAAGTGCGTGGAGTCCAGAGGGGTTTCGTCCATCTCGCGGGCACTTAGTAGTTCACGTCCACTCGGTCGTGATAATTAGCTCCAGACAGTGAAGAGCGTTAATGAAACGGCGCGCTTTTGCTCAACATCACGGTCTAAGCTTATAGTTCACGGCCGGGAATTGGGACCGTGAAAAGTCGTAGATCTGGGAATAAAAGGAGAGCTGAGCTGAAAGGGAAAGGGGGAGAACCTAGTGTGAGAAAACTTCTTCTTCTTCAGATTTCTAGAGAGAGAAAGTGACGAACAAGAGACGAGAAGAAAGTTAGGAGTTCATCCAAGCTCCAAGAACAACATCCAGTTCCAAGGGCTTCAGGATGAGTCCCTAAGGGAGCATATCTAGAGATTCATTGAGATTTCGGGAAGCTTGAAGGTCAATAGGGTATCCGACAAGGCTTTGAAGTTGAGGCTTTTCTCCTACTCTCTTGCGGGGAAAGCGCTCTGGTGGCTCAATAATAGATCACCCCTCTTGATTACCTCATGGGATGACTTGCTTAACAAGTTCATGGCCCGATATTGTCCACCTTCCAAGATGGCGGAGTGGTGCAAGAAGATCACCCACTTCGCTCAAGAGACGGATGAGACATTGAGGGACGCATGGGAGAGGTACTCCAACTTTTTCCTCAAATGCCCACATCATGGGTTTGGAGAGCATTTTCAGATGGAAACCTTCTACGACGGTCTCCTTCAAGAAGACAAGATTCTCATTCACTATCTATGACAAGAGAACTTGCTGAAAAAGACCCCACCCGAATGACCGCTTTGCTAAGATATGGCGACAAAGGGGTATGATTGGGGTTCGATGGGACGTGGTGGAAAAGATGCCAAGAGAGGATTACACTCCACGGAGGCGATCCCTCCTCTCGCCGCCAAGATTGACCAGTTGATCAATGCACTTCTTGAGGAAAAAAACCAAGGGAAGAAGCTGGTGATGGCGTGTGATTGGTGTTCGACTACCAAGCGGAGTTCAAATTGATAAAGGAAACAAACACCCGGGAGGAACAAGTAAGCTACATCGCCAATGCTAGGGGAAACAACAACAACCTCTATAGCAACACTTACAACCCGGGGTGACAAGACCCCCCGGTTTCCAAGGACCGATGGGGAACTATCAACCAGACCTCCTTTCATTCTACAAAGGCCCCAATTTCAAGGGTCAAACTTACAACAACCATTCTAAGCGCAAGGTGGTCAAGGGTTCCAACAACAACAACCCGACAAGTTTGCAAAACTTGAAGACCTAGTTATCACCTTTGTGAGTACAAGCTCACAGAAGTTCGAGAAGATCGAGCAATTCATGGATGTAGCAACAAGCAAGTTTTCTTCGGTTAAGGCGGGTCTAAGGAGCCATCAAGCAAGAAGAAAAGACCCCTCCAACGGTTGATGATCAAGAACTCTTGGAATGAGAGGGGGAAGAGGCTAAGAAGGCATTGCCAATGCCACCACTAGTGGCTGAGTACGAGCATCTTCTTCCTTTCCCTACGAGAGTGCACAAGGACCGGTTGGAGGCGGAGGGTGGAAAGTTCATGGAGATGCTCAAGAAGGTCCACATTACCATTCCTTTTCTGGAGGCAATGACGTACATGCCAAGGTACGCCAAGTACCTAAATGGGCTTCTTGCGAAGAAGCAAAAGTTTGAAGACCTGGCAACCGTCACCTTGGGCGAGGAGCCCTCATTCAGAACAAGTTTCCTAAAAAGCCAAAAGATCTAGGTAGTTTTACCACCCCTCTTTGCATTGGAGAATGCAACATAGAAAATTCTTTGGTGGATTTAGGTGTGAACATTAACATCATGCCATTTAAGCTTTACAATAAATTGAACCTAGGTGAATTGAAACCCACTAGGTTAATTGTCACATTGACTTACCGCTTGGTGATTAGCCCTAGGGGTATTGTGGAAGACGTGCTAATGAGGGTGGGAACATTTTATTATCCGGCGGATTTCATCATCCTTGACATCAGTAAAGATGCGGATATGCCCTCATACTAGGACGTCCTTTCCTTGCCACCGCCAAGCCCTTAATTGATGTTAATGAGAGTACTTTTGATCTTGAGAGATGGAGAGGAGCGAATTACCTTTTTGGTGACCCTAAGAGTAAGAATGATAATGTTAAGGAAGTGGAATCGAATGGTATGTTTGGAAATGGAGGTGAGCCACTCAAGGAGAACCCCACTAAACTCTTGTTCCTTGTGATGATGTGAAACATGAACCTAAGGCGGGTACCAAACCCGAAGGGAGGAAGAAGAAAGGCTGGCGTGCAAAGATGAGCCATGCCTTTATCCAAAAGAATGACAAGGGTAAGGCGAGAGTGCCCGGCCAAGAGGGCCATCTTTTGGAGCTTAAGATGGAAGGTGACAAGCCTCGCCTTGAGACCATGGCGGATCCACTCTCAGAGGCCTCGTGCTCTCAAGCATGAAGGATCCACAATGTCGAGCTAGTGACATTAAACTAGTACTTGTTGGGAGGAAACCCAATGTAGGTTTGTTTTCTTTTCATTATTTTCCCTTTTTGTGATTGAGTGATGAGTTCAAGTGGTTGAATGGTGATCACCGTGCCAGAGTTGTGTGTCTGAATGTTTTGGATGTTTTGTGATTGAGTTAGGGGCATGGTTGATTAGATCAAGTCTTGAAATTTTGGGAAATGCCCTGTTTTTCATCAGTACACGATTTAAGCTCTATTATCACAGTTGTCAGACTGTGATAATGAGGCGGAGACCGTGAACTCGAGGGGCAGTCCCACTTTTCTAAAACGTATCATTTTTTCCCGAGATCACGATTGGGGATTTATTTTAAAATCAAACCCCGTCCGTGAACCATGGGATCGTGCTATATAAAGGGGCAGTGGTCCCTTTCTCTTCACTTCATGCCTCATCTCCACCGGAATTCTCTGAAACATCGTCGGAAAACCGCGACAAACCTCTATTTTCCGTCGATTTTGAAGACTTTTGGCCACCCAAAACCAAAACTAGACCCAATATTCCCACGTCTGGACGCCCCTTCGTCGAAGTTTTGGAGCGATTTGGCTCAACTTTGTTCCAGCGGGGCGATTTCCGGTGCGCTTCCGGCCGGCGAGCCTCTCCAACCAGTTTTTCGATCATTTTTGAATCCCTCGCCATATCCTCACCTTCCCCTTCGATTTATGTTATTTGAATGATGCATGAAGTGATTATGAGCTTGATTGTGCCTTGGTGGGAAAGATTTAGTATGATTGGTGTTTGAATTGGAAAATGCCCAGCAAGTGCAATATGTGAATGAATGTTGATCTAATTTTATGCATGATGGTTGGTGGCCATCGAGGCATGGTTTATATTCGAAATTGCAACTTTTATGAACTTTGAATTTCCTAGAACCATGTCTCGATGTGTCTTGTGTGGGAATGAGCTTAATTGTTGGTAAACCGATCTTGTGAAAAGCCTTGAATGTGTATAGTCATAGTGGAATCCTAAGTGTTGGGGAATCCTTTTCTCCCCGATGATTTGAGATTGACAAAATGTTTCCATGTATGATGCATGGCTTTTGATGTTTTTGCAGGATGGTTGATCCAAATCACTCGTACCTTGCAGAGATCCCTACGGCACCTGCATTTCAAAGTAGCCTGAGATTATGGAGGAGGGCTCCGTTTGGGATTCATTGGTGGCTCGATTTCCGAGAATTTGATGCGTTGAACTGTGGAGATGCCATGTACAAGCTGTGGCACATCTTCAATGGCGCCGATTCCTCAAAATTCAGGATGACATCTTCGAGGAAATCTGCATCGAATTCTTTAGCACCTTCGCTCTTTTCCAGCAGAAGATTTCCCCGGGGACCGTGACCCCATATTCAGATTCTTCTTGGGTGGTACACTCCGGGTTATCAGTTTTGATGAGCTTTCACAAGCTTGGGGGGGGGGGGGATGGGGAGGACGAATCAGAGGCGGAAGTGGACGTCATCCAAGATTTCGACTCCCAAGTTGTGTTCAAAAAGGTATGCCTCCCTTTGCATCGACGAAACCATTTTGATCCAGCACATACCACAGGTACCACTCTCAAGCCCCAATGGCGTGTCATTAATGCACTCCTCACCCATTCCATCTTTCAGAGTGGCAAGTCGACCAACAAGACCACTAAAAGATCTCTCCTTTCCTTCGCCGCAATGGCTAATGGAGGAGTGCTTGTTCACATCGGGTCTATCGATGAAGACTACGATGGTTTGTTATGCCATGTATGCTCTCTTCCAGGAGAAAACTTGTCCCATTGTTTCTTGGAATGTAAAATAGCTAATGAACTTTGGGACCTTGCTGGTTATTCCCATATTCTCCTACAAGTAAGTTCTCTTCACGTGTCCATTGGTTGGAGATTTCTTCTTCTGTATGCAGGTCTCAATTCAGCCACCCTCTCTCACATGGTATTTCTATACTGAAGAATTTGGAAAGGAAGATGTCCAATTGTTTCTTGGTATTTCTCCCCACTTCTCTGCTACGGAAATACCATAGCCAAGTTGCCGAGTGGAACGTAGCTCAGGAGGCGAGCTCTACAAGGCGGCGTCGTGGTCAGCCAGTGCCACCTCCCTCTCGCAATTCTATCCCGCCACCCATCCCGGAAGGAAATGTTATAGTTCACTTCGATGGTGCGACGAAAGTATCGACGGGTGGAGCCATTGGATTTGTGGGTTTTACAGCCCCCCAAACAATCTCCTTCGCTCTTGGCCGATTTTATACGGAAGTCGCCATTCCTTTTTTCATCGAGTTAATGGCTCTCCGAGATGCCATGCGTTGGTGCCTCTCTCATTCACTTACTAATGTCCTGTTCTGTGTTGATGCGCAGGTCGTTCTCAGGATGGTTGCTGCGAATGACTCGACTCACGCATTGGGAGGTGCCATTCTGAATGAGGTTCGGGTGTTGCGAACATCTCTCTCGCGTGCATCGTTTCATTTCGCCCCGCGTAGGTATAACAGGGGCTGCCCATACAGTGGCGAAAAGGGCCCTCTCATCGATGGATCAGCATCTTGTTGACCATCGTTTTGCTCTTTTTTCTTTGTCCTGACCTTTCGGTCTTGTATATTCTCGTACCTTGCTATTCCTCTCGGAATGTCTCTGACAAAAAAAAAATTTCATGCATCTGGGTAAAGCTAAGCTTAACCAGGTTAATCCAATTCATCCATTAATCCTTAACCCACTTGCTTAAACGACTCATTGGTGGAATCGAGTGACAACCTTGGTCATAACAAATTAGACTGAACAAATTTGTTGTATATTTTTTAATGGGTTATAGGTATAGTATACTCCTCTATTATATATATATATATATATATATATATATATATATCAATTAATAACTCTATTATTCACTAAAGCATGCAATTTCAGTTTCCAAACATATTTTACTCAAATACTTTTATATAATAATGAATGACTCCCTAAATTTTGCTTAGTTTTCAATGAAAGATGAGATGCTATTAATTGATTTATGAGCTCAAATATACCTCCATACCACTAAAGCTACAATCATTCTGATCTTTAGTTGTTCACTCACCTCTGCCAATGTTTACAGGTTCATATTTTGCTATGAAATTAAGATAAAGAAACTCTAAATCTCACACATTTAAAAGTAGGAGATGGAAACTATGTAAATAATTGATTGCAAATTTACTATTTTGAAACCCAAAACTGAAGGAATTTAGATCATCTCATTTCGCAGTAAATTAAAACGTCTTATGGAAAAGTGATACCTTAGCGTTGGATGTGATGTTGAATGAACAACTAATGCCAAACGTGGTCTAAAAAATTCCCTCCACTATGAATTGTAAAAAAACATGGGTTAATATATTTATATGGTCTGAACTTTGACCAAAATAAACATCTTGGTCAATCTTTTCGATCTATAACATCCTAACCCAAACTATACATCAAAATAACTAAATTGGCCAAACTTGACGTTTGACCGTTAACTTGAACGGTCAAACGCGTTGACTAACGGTCAACATGCCACGTCACCGCCCGGTCATCATAAAAATTAATAAATATTCACAATTTACACATATTTTCTAATTTTGAATTATCTATCTATCTATCTATACATAATATTATGGCAATTCAAAATTAAATTTTTGCCACATAAGCACTTGAAGAGATTTCAAGTTGCCAAGGTGGATAATTTTTTTACAAAAAAATAGTTATTGACCTATTTATGGATCCCTCTCTCTTCATTTAATACTTAATTCTCTTTTATCTAATAATTATTTTGCTTTTGTTCTTGCATTATATCTATAAATAATATGGAGAGAAAGGTTATCAAACCAGTTTAGCAAGTGGAATGGTTTTATCAGTAGTACAACCGGTTTGTGTCGGTTCATGCCGGTTAATAAAATATGTACAAATATCAAAAATTCATATTGATATTTGAATAAAATATGATATTTCAAATAAAATTACATTTACTCATACTTAAATTCACTAAAACTATGTATTTTACTTAGAAATTCGTAAAACGATCATACCGGTCAGACCGATGGTGTCATGTCGATTTCATGACCAATATCGGTTGAATGGTTCAACCGGTGGCATCCGACCGACGTGACAATCATGATAGAGAGTGACATATGTCACATTTTGTTTTTTGCATTTTGTCGATGTACTCAACAGTATACTAATGTTCGTAGTGTGACATATATATCACACTTTTTAAACCAAAAAATATATGATTAAAGATTACTATGTAAATTTCTGCTCATTTTTACTAAAATTTAATAATAATTTATATTTTAATGAATAATTTAAACAAATACACAATAATAATAATATTTTGTCGATAATGTCTGAAAGAATCTTGACCAAGAAATAATAGTTAATTATTAAAAAAGCTTCTTATTCATTCTCATCAAGTGAAAACATAAGAATCGCATGTGCAGTATTTATAATGTATCCTAAGTTCACATTACTAATATTTTCTCTAGGTCATGTTGATTGAGCAAGCTCTATTGAGGTCTTACATCATATGCTAAGAAATTTTCTTTTCAGACTTGGAGTTATTTATTGTTAAAGATTATAAATTGAATTTTTCAAAATGACTTGAGTATAATAGTTGATGAACTTTGACTTCATATTCTAGGATGAGACACGAGATCCCTTGAAAAATGAAATGTGTGAAATTTAGAGAAATCTTTGTTAAGGATGTGTGTTAAACATCACATTTCATGCTAAGAAAAATCTAAATTCGACGATTGTGGTAATAATAAACATTAAAGTTTTACTTCACATATATAACAAAAAACATTTATAGTTACAATAGTATAAACCGAGCTATTGGGTTAAAAGAAGAATATTTAATAAATATGAGTTTAGTAAGAAAATAGTAACAAGTCTATATAGTTGTGAGCCTGTGATTTCATACCAAATTTTGGCAATAACAAAAAAAAAAAAATTGATATCATATTTCACTCAAAGAGCTGAGTTCAAACGTATTAATTAGTGTTGAAAACAAAATAAACTCTCTGTATATATATGTTTAGATATTAACAATAGATGTGTCTACAATACATCTAATAATTTAAATACATTTGAAAAGCAACAATGTTTGTATGAACTTTTAAATTTTGCTACAAAATATTTTGTTAAAAAATTATAAGTTAATTATTCAAGGAATACATAATTTTGAATGCACCTGAAATATTGTCTGTCGTATACACACTTTACCAATTATTAATATAAGTAAAGAAATTTTTCTCTATATCAAAAATCAAATATAAAGAAATTTTAGCGAATGGACATTCAAATAGTTGAAAAATTATACATTGAAAGAACATGTTAAAATGAGAACCTTCGATAGTGTAAATGAATGCCTTGGATTCAGATTCTAAACAAACATCTAGACAAAAGGCATGGGTTGAAAGTTAGTCCAAACTTAAAATATTAGCAATTGATATATATTGTAAGATAATAATAATGTGTATCTTGATAGAAAAATTGTCATAAGTTGTTATACTAAGACTTCATGAACATCAACAATAAAAATGAGTGAGGTTTAGAGAATTTAATCATTATAAGGGTTACGATGTGTGTCAAATTTCAATTGGAATAAACATAATTTATCCAGTAATCAAATATGTTTTTCCAATAATTTGAACTCTGATTAATTGGCTTAGAGTTCGTACAAACTCGAGAATTATGAATTGATATATGTTGTATAAGATAATAAATTTGAGGGTCTTGGTGGAAAGTTTTTTATATACGATCTTAAATGGGTCGTGATAAACCTTTACGACATGATTTGTGATCAGAGAATAAAAACATCACAAGCGAGTGTACTAACTATTAAATATTAAGAATTTTCGATATAGGCATACCACATATTCACTTATGAAGCGAGAGCGGAAAATATATGCAAGATTCAAAAAGTTCAAATATGTAAATAAGTTAACTTATATAAATAATAAAATGAACTTCTCCGGCCAAATGGCCGGATAAAAAACTAGTTACAATTAAATTGAAACAAAATTAAATACAAATCCCCGCCACTGCCAGCGACTCCCCCAACCTCTTCGAAAGAGAGCTCTGAGCTCTCTCATCTGCTACCCAACCCCAAATCAAACATCCTCTCCACATCCATCAAACTCTGCTCTTAATTAAAACAAAAATTAAAACATAACCATCCCAATCTTGAAATCCCTATCTTCTTCTCTCCTGGTCTGCAACAGAGGCGGATCTACCGCTGGCGGCGATTTTCGCCTCGCCGACCATGCTTGCGATCTCCCTCTGCCCCGTAAACTCCGTTGACGGACACGAGACAAGATCCAAAGAGGAATCACCGACCAATCTTTCGAGCTCGACTGTTCGCGGACCTTTTTCTGCTTGTGGATTTTTCCAATCTTGAGGCGACGGACGACGGGGCTGATTTTGGTTCGGGGGTAGATCTCGTCTGATTCGTAGAGCTCGTCGCGAACAAGCCTGGCGTTTTGTTCGACGACGAGGGTTAGGGTTTTGGAGAAGCGAGTGGAGAGGAAGCGGAAGGCGAAGAAGATAACTGGAAGAAGCACCTCGTGAGGGATGAGACTGTAGGCTACGTACCGGACTAGCATTGTGTAGGCGACGATGGAGGCGATGTCGAGGAGCACTGACGAAGCCGACGGGGGTATTTTTGGCGATGGTGGATCCAGCGGGGAGGCGAATCGCTAGTGCTTGGGGGTGAGAGGATTAAAAAGAAATATTTTCCATTTTTTATTTTAGACAAAATTTGTAAATGTGTAATTTGTGAAAATTGTGAATATTTTAATGATTTCTATGATGACCGGGCAGTGATGTGTCGGGTTGACTGTTACGGGTTGACTGTTAGTCAGCACGTTTGACCGTCTAAGTTAACGACCAAATGTCGGGTTTGGCTAATTTAGTTATTTTGATGTATAGTTTGAGCCAGGATGTTATAGATCGAAAATATTGGTCAGGATGTTTATTTTGGTCAAAGTTCAGGCCATATAAATATATTAACCCAAAAAACATCCTTCCCATACCCAATTTATTACCAGTCAAATCATATTTAGTAATATCACTTGAAGGTAATACTAATAAATGACTATTTAGTTTGAGTCTAAATTAGACCTATTGCATTGGCTAAAAAAAATGAATAGCAACTCCAATGTAATTTTTGAAAATTTTTTTTGTATAACAAACATAAATGTGGAAACACCGATAATGAAGGTGTGAATTGGTTTAATGGGAATAGCTAGATGATCGATATTTCTTTTCTGATATAATTATATGGACTCAAATAGATTCAAATTGTGGGTTCGACCCAAATAAATGTTTTCCTGCTCTAACTCTCTCCCCATTCCATAATTAGTAAATTAAAGTAATTCGGCCAACGGGCCGGATCAAAGCTAGTGATTATATAATGATTAACCAATGAACTATAAACCAATAACTTTTTCGATTCAACTTCGATTCAACATCCGATCTAATTATGAAAATACAGGTAACAAACTATTAGCAGCCCTCTTAAAAAAAATTCTCTTTCCGGTCAAATGGTCTAGAACTAGAATACCAGTTTTTGGAAGGGTATTGGGGTTTTGCGTTAATTTCGGCAAAGAGTCGTTAAAAAAAGGTAGAAGTTTTTTTTTTTAAATGGAAAAGATAAAAGAGTAAAATAAGAGATTGTGAAAGGAGCAAGTTGCGAGATTGAGGGTGGTTCGTATAATAACTACCGCCAGTTCCGGTGCATGGCCTTTTGGCGTTTGAAGATTTCAGTTGTCTACTTTTCTTCCAGTTTTGAGGAAAGGGGCAAACTGCAAAGGTAGAGGAGGCTGAAGAAGACATTTGCGACAACCGCCATGTTCCATCGTACGTACGTGAATTTGGCTCAAACCTGAATCGTGGATAAAGAAGGAAGTTGAGAGGGAGAAGAAAAAAACTATAGTTAAGATAGAAAAAAGAAACAAAGAGATCGACTGAAGGGATGACGGACGCGATATTGGATCAGCTTGGCTCGGAGTTGGTGATGCAGGAGGTGATCGCCAAACAACAGACGCCGTTGCCGCCTCCCATCGCCGCCGACGCTAGCTACGTGGATCATGACATCAACCTCGCCGCCTCCTCCGACATGTCTTCCAACTCCTCCGACTCCGAGATCGACAACTACATCATCATGTCTCAATCCGCCGTTGGCAAGCATCGCCTCTTCGGCCGCCAGAAGCCTCTCCACGTCGTCCTCGGCGCCGGCAAACGTATGTATGCTCGCTCTAATGCTCTCTGCCTTTCCTACTTTCTTTCTTCTTTTGGGCGGTTTCCCTATCATAACTGAAACGCTGTCCTGATGGAATCTGGATTCGGATCTGAATCTTGATGTCGGGACCGTGGATCAGGTGCGGACCTAATACTGTGGAGAAACAAGCAGTTGTCGGGAAGCATATTCGGCGGCGTTACCTTCGTATGGCTGTGCTTCGAATGGACAGGGTATCATTTGGTTACCTTTCTTTGCCACTCCCTCATCCTAATCCTCGCCACACTCTTCCTCAGCGCCAATCTAGCGGCCTTCATCAATGTGTAAGAACACAAAGAACAACCCCTTAATCACCCTTTCGTCAATTTCATTACCCGCTCTCTCTAATCTACCTGCAATACACACTGCCCTATTGCAGGTCGCCTATTGAATTCCCTAGGGTTGATGTGTCAGAGCGCTTCCTGACCTCGACTCTGCTCACGCTCGGGGCTCAACTCAACTGTGTGGTTACAACTTTCCGGGATGTTGCCTCCGGAAGGGACTTGAAGAAGTTCGTCAAGGTCACCCTTCCTTTTCCTGTTTATCACCCTATGTATCTCGACTTGAGAGGATCGCAATCACCTGATATTTTCAACATGCATTGCACTTGCAGGTGATTGTGTCGCTGTGGCTTCTCTCTGTAATCGGCAGCTGGTTCAGTTTCCTGACTCTGTTTTACCTTGGTCAGCATTCTTCCCTCTTTTACATCATCTTATACTACTGCATAATTCCTTTCATAAGCAGCAGCAGCAAATGTGATTTGTGCCAAGACTGACGACTGAAAGGACTTTCCCTGTGCAGTGTTCGCGACGGTGTTAACAGTGCCACTACTTTACGAGAAGAATGAGGATGCTGTCGATTCGTATGCCGAAAAGGCATGGGTAGAAATTAAGAAGCAGTATGCAGTTCTGGATGAGAAGTACCTACACAAATTCCCAATACTATCTTCCATCAAGGCACATAAGCAGCATTAAGCCTCTTCTACTGCCCACTCCAGGGTGAAGCTAGCTAGTAACTTTTTTACTTCTCAATCTCTTGTGTTGCTTGTAATCCACGTTACAAGAAACATACCAGCTCTTGCACCCTCATTTACTTCTGTTATGAGTTAGATGAATTTCTACCGAAAACCCGTTTAGTTGTTGTTACTGCTTTGTAATCGTAATCCTAGTGCGTGGGATACTTCTAGTTGTGTTTTCTTTTACACCTTAAAACAGTATATTCTAGTTGTGTTTTCTTTTACACCTTAAAACAGTATATTTGTAGTTATAACTTATACCACCTGCATGTGTGTCCTTTTCTAAGTGAGACCCAACCTCAAGAGCAGACTTAAGAACACAACTTGGTTCTGAATTCTTCTGTCCCATTCACCACCCATGAAAATCACTTGCGCGCAGTTTTCGATTTGGAAGAATACGTACATCTAAAGCTCACCTCTACTCACTAATATAAATGCTAGAAGAGTATATATCAGTTCCAATCTGAGATGAAGCTTTGCAATTCCTACTTACCAACAAACTCGTAAAGACAACTCTTCTCGCTAGCTGGGCGCCAAAAAAAAAAAAAAACATAACTTGACTCTAAGAAAGTGGCTCTATACTTTGGACTCTGTTGATAGTGCAGGCAAGAAAGCCTCCCACCAGCCATATTCATACTTGGGATATGGTGCTGACCAGTTATCAGGTTTGTCAAACTCCAGTGTAGTGGGATTTGAGGCCAATGCTTCCTCTAGTGAGTCAGCTTCATAGCTATCTGCCAGAACCCTGTCTAGTCTCAGCTTCATGAACCTGTCAATCCAAATTGAGAAGAAATTACTGATGTAGCAGTAGAAAGGGATCTGAATCAAATATTAGGGACCTCTTGGATCATTTCATTGCACATGCGATTCCAGAGGCACCAAAACATCTTTGCCCAATCAAGCAACTTGCCAAAAACAGGTGCATTAATCGGATCTGAAGCTCAACCAATAGCGTAAGCAATATACAGGATGCAGCAATGCTATCTTAACATCGGGATATCATAGTGAAGATGAAGGATTGAAGAGAAGGAACATGGCTTTGGCTTACGTGATCCAGGGTCCATTGGTAGAGACCAAGGCAACAGCAGGTCTCTTCAAACGCTTGGTGATGTCAGGGAATTTGTCCAAGAAGGCGGGCTCAATCACAAGCCAAAAATCAAGCTCCTTTTCACGCTCGCCGTAGTAGCGGCGGCGCTCGAACAACTGCTCCTGGAAGTGCTCTTCCTCGTCCAGCATGAACTTCGCATTCGCCACCACGAAATAGTACCTCTTCCTCCCACTCCCTGCCTCTTCGCTAGTCCCCTGCCGATGCGGACATTTTCCCCAAAAGAGGAAGAATTAAGAAAAAAAAGGAAAACAAAAGCAGAAGAAACTCTGATGCTGAATCCAAGTTCCAACCCCAATTCTGAATGGGCTTTAACAGAAGGAAGGATGAAGTTTAGAAACCCTACCTTGCCGTCGGAAGAGGAGGAAGTGGGCTGCTGTTGGCTGGAGTCGACGGCGACGGCAGAGACGACGGGGGACTTGACGGAAGTGGTGGTGGGAAATCGAAGATGCGGTGGAAGAGAGGGTAGAGATAGTTTGGGGGAGGAATGGAAGATGGAGTTGCGGGGATGATGAATCGGGGTGATGGGCTTGTTGGGAGTAAAAGAAGCAGCAGCAGCAAGGGATAATGCACTCAACATCTTCTTCTGGGAGATAAGAGTTGCGTTGTGGGTGTCAGGTGCAGGAAAGAACCATGGAGGAAGAGGAAGACAACAGTGTGAGGAGCGTGAACTAGAGAAGGAAGGTTTTAGTACAGGGAGGGAGCCTTATCTGCTTTTCTTATCTTTGGGCGTATCTGCAATCCCCTCGCCCATTCCCATCTAGAGAGAGAAAAGTGTAGCGGGTCAGAACAGCTCAGGAAGCCTAATTAGCATGGTTGTCATGTCGGCGGCATGTCACTCGGTTGAACCTGGTTCAATTTGAGTCGGTAATGAAACCGGTACGACACCACCGGTATGACCGGTATGATCGACTTATGCATTCCAAGTAAAATGACATAATTTTAATGGATTTAATTAATAAAAAAATTAATTTATTCTTCATTTTATGAATTTAATAATTAAAAGTTGATGATATTTGTTGGATTGTAACTAAATTGTCCATAAATATGTTTTATATATGATTAAATACATTGGATATAAATTGTTTTCATATTTTTTTAAACCGGCATGTACCAGCACAAACTGTTTATACCACCGGTCGTACCATTCCACCTGTCAAACCGGCACAACGGTATAAACCGGTTTGACAACCATGCTAATTAGTAATTACCATGGTTGTCATGCCGGTGGCATGCCACCCGTTTGAACCTGCTTCAACCTGTGTTGGTCATGAAACCGGCACGACACCACCGGTATGATCGACTTACGCATTCTAAGTAAAATGACATCGTTTTAATGAGTTTAATGAATAAAAAAATTAATTTATTATTCATTTTATGAATGTAATAGTTAAAAGTTGATGATATTTGTTGGATTAGAACTAAATTGTCCACAAATATGTTTTATATATGATTAAATACATGAGATATTAATTGTTTTCACATTTTTTAAACCGGCATGAACCGGCACAAACTGGTTATACCACCGGTCGTACCATTCCACTTGCCAAACCGGCACAACGGTATAAACCGGTTTGACAACCTTGTTAATTACTAATTAGAGAACCTTTTGGTCTTTTTTTTTACAAAAGATAATCTTCATTGATCGAAACAAAAGATAGTTACATCCTGGAGAGCAGCCAGATCTGAAAATCAAAGAAACGACTCGCAGTCAGGTACAAAGAGAGGGCCTGACGAGCCACCAAGTGGGTTACCCTATTGCTACGCCGACCTACAAATCTAACACTAAACCCTGAGCGAACCGCCAAGTGATGAACAATTTCCGCAAGAATGGCACCAATCCGACTATCACTAGCATCCGCATGGTTGATTTTGTCAATAATGACCTTAGCATCCCCCTCAAAACACACCTCCATGAAACCCCCGATTCAGGCACCCCATGATAGCTTCCCGGAGCACCAACACCTCTACTACCATGGGATTATCGATGCCCGGGAACTGAACCCCACCAGCCATAAGGACCCCTCTAGCCGGGGTCATAATAACAATCCCCCCAGCTGAGTGGGACCCCCTCATCGTAGCCCCATCCCACATGCAAACCAGCCTATCATCCTCCACCAGAACCGATTGAGGAGGGGGAAGGGCAGAGGAGCGAGAGTTCCGATCCACAGGCAGCCCAACCCATTCCTCATACTGCTGGTTGTACTGACGCATCAAAGCAAGCATCCCAAACTTCTTGCCTTCGAAGACAACCCAGTTTCGAGAACGCCATATTCGCCAAAGGACAACAACAACCGCCATGAGAATGGATGGCTGATTAATCAGAGACATTAACCGCTTAAGAAACAGGGGAAAGGTGTGCTGAGGCAACCCTTTTCCCAGGAAAGCCAGCCCCGAATAGTCCCAGAGCGTCCGAGCCACCAGGCAATAGAGGAATAAATGTTCCAAGGTTTCTGACTCGGCCCAACAAACCGGACACCTAGGTAAAACCATAACCTCTTTGGCAATGAGGGCTTCTGTCATAGGAAGCATGCGATTCAGGATTTGCCAAACAAACACCTTCAATTTAGGGGGCAGATTAGCCTCCCACAGCCTGATCCAACTAGCCTTATCCATCCAGCTAACCTCTAACCTCCAACGACCCTTCCTTCTATCAAGGGTGACAGCTAAATGATAGGCCGACTTCACAGTGAAAATGTCTTCCGGAGTATTATGCCAAATCAGCTTATCATCCACCGGCAATCGCGGAAGGGGGATGGCTTTAATGACCTTAGACGTAGGAGGGTCGAACCACTGACTCAACTTCCGGTCACACCACCGGCCCCCTTCCGGGCTGATCACCTCTGCCACCACCGGATCCCCCTCAACTGGCAGGACCCGAGGGTTATACCTAGGAGGATCAAGCTTTAATTGAGGAATCCAGCTAGAATGGAGCAGGGGAGCAGACTGCCCATTCCCAATTTGCCAACGTATCCCTGCTTCTAATAACTGACGGCCATACAGAATACTCTGCTACCCCCACGAGGGACGAGATCGTGCTGTGGCCGATAGGAAGGACCCATTCGGAAAGTACTTCCCTTTATATACTTGAGCTAGGAGGGACTGGGGTTCCTGAAGGAGGCGCCAACCAATTTTAGCCAAAAGAGCTTGGTTGAAATGTTCAAATCGGCGAAACCCCATTCCTCCATCATGCTTACTCCGGCACATATTCCTCCATGACATCCACCTCATTTTCGACTGGTCCTCCTCAACGCCCCACCAGAACCGTGCCACATGTTTATCAAGTAATCGACACAGTGAGAGAGGCAACCTGAAACAGGACATCACATGCAACGGTATTGCCAAGGCAATGGACTTGATTAAGGTTTTCTTAGCCGCCCAGGATAGCGTTCTTCGTTTCCATCCTTGGAGGCGATCAAGCAGCTTCTCCTCCAAGTACCGGAAGGTCTCCATCTTCGACTGAGCAATCAGCGTAGGCAGTCCCAGGTACTTATCATGAACTTCAACCTCCCCTACTCCCAAGACCGCATTCAGGAATTCTTGGTCGGGCAAGACAATGTTTCTACTAAAGCACACTACCGACTTCTCCAAGTTCACTCTCTGGCCACTGAGCTCCTCATACTCATTCAAGACCTCGATTAAATTCTCGCACTCCTGGAGAGACCCACGCAGGAACAAATATGAATCATCGGCAAAGAACAGATGCGAGATCCGCGGGGCCTGGGGAGCAACCTTGATTCCTCCAAGCTTATCATCAGAAATAGCCTTCCGAAGAAGCGTAACAAACCCCTCCGTACAGAGTACAAACAATAGTGTGGACAGAGGATCCCCCTGGCGGAGGCCTTTGGAGGGGGTGAAGTAGCCCGAAGGGGTGCCATTCATTAAAACGGAGAAAGACGAGGACCGAAGGCATTCTTGTATCCATCCCCGCCAAATAGAGTTAAACCACATTTTTTCCAAGACAGCGAGCAGAAAGGGCCATTCAACTCTATCATATGCCTTTTTCATGTCAACCTTTAGAGCCATGAACCCTATCTTTCCACGCGTCTTAATTTCAAATAGTGCATTAACTCATGCCCAAAGAGGATATTCTCGATGATTTGTCGGTCTCGTATAAAAGCATTTTGACCCTCTGAGACAATCTGCGGTAAAAGACCCGCAAGTTTCTCAGCCATGATCTTGGTAATAGTCTTATACACAAACTGACACGGGCTGATTGGCCGCAATTGTCGCATATTCTCCACAGAGTCGACTTTGGGAATCAGAGTGAGTCAAGTATGGTTGAAACTACGGAGCATCCTGCTAGTCTCAAAGAAAGGACAAACTGCCTCAACCACCGAGGCTCCCACAATTTCCCAGGAAGATTTAAAGAATTTCCCCGTGAATCCGTCTGACCCAGGAGCCTGCTTTGATCCCATGGCAAAAACTGTTTAGCGAACTTCATCAGGGAGAACAACCGCCGTTAGGCTGGCATTCATTTCTAGGGTAACCTTGTGATCGATAGGCAAGCCTGCCACACGCTCAAACATATTAAAGATTTGATTCTCCGAGGTAAAGAGATGCTGATAGAAATTGGTCGCAATGCCAGCTTTACCAGGCTCATCCATGATCCAATCGCCCTCATCATTACGAAACCCGACCACAAAATTCTTCTTACGGCGCGTCCGAGTCACTGTATGAAAATAAGAGGTGTTTTTGTCTCCTTTCTTTAACCAGTGGACCCTAGACTTTTGCTGCCAATAGAGCTCCTCCGCTTCCCATTGCCGATTCAGCTCACCACGGGTCAAAATTAACATTTAGGTCCGAATTATGTGGCATATAGACTCAATTGGCCGAAAGAGTGGTTTGACCATTAGTAACTGTCCAGGTCACTGTCATGTCAGCACCAAACCAAAAAAAAATTGAATTTCAAATATCTTTTATTATTTTCTTTATCTGATTAAAAACTGAAAAACAACCAAAAATATGTTCGGCCACCCATCGCCACCTTATCACCTCGCCTCTTTCTGATTCAAGCAAAAAAAACAAAAAAAAACAGAAACATTCTTTTTTATCCCTTCTTCCCCGACGAGTGGCATTCTCTCCGATTAAAAAATGCAGCGACGGGCGGTCGTTGAAAGACGTCGCCGCTTGGAAGATCGAATCCTTACCCAGAACCCTCACCCGCTCCTCTCGCATGCCTCTGTTCTCTGTTCTCTCGTCAACAGGGAAAATTAGGGCATTATCTCCCCTTCCCCACCCATCGATTTTTGCTTATTTCTTTCTAGACCATGCCTTCCCCACCCATTGCTCTCTATCCATTTCTTTCTAGACTAACCCTTCCCCACCCATCGCCTTCTTCTATAAACGGCGAAGAAAGTGAAGTTCGAGGGACCACTTCGACAAAATCCTATTTGTTATTCGACTAAGGTAAGTAATCGATATCTCTCGTAATTATCATCTAAATACGTCCAATGCTCGGCTTGTTGCTAAGGGATTTACCGAGGTTGAGGGTAAAGATTTTCACGATACTTTTGCCCATGTGGCAAAATTGGTTACGGTTCGCTGCCCTCTTGCAGTAGCCGTCACTCGAGACTGGTACATTCATAAGCTTGATGTGAACAATGTCTTTGTACACGACGATCTCACTGAGGAAGTTTATATGGCCATTCCGCATGGCTTTGCTCGACCAGGTGATTCTCGAGTATGCCTCTTGCATAAGTCTATCTATTGGTTGTGCCAAGCTTCGCGCAATTGGTATAAGAAGTTTATGCAGGCCCTTCTTCAGTTTGATTTTGGTCAAAGCCGTGCCGATCATGCTCTTTTTATTCATCGACGAGGTTCCTCCTATGTTGCAACTCTCATATATGTGGCCGGCTTTATTCTTGTCGGTAATGATATCTCCTTTATTAACCGCGTCAAGACTTATCTCCACGAGCAGTTTACCATCAAGAATTTTGGCACTCTCAAGTACTTTCTTGGCATTGAAGTTGCACGTTCCCCTCGTGGCATTGTTCTAAACCAACGCAAGTACGTACTTGATATCCTTACAGATACGGGCCTGGAGGCCACTCGTCCATCTCTCACCTCCATTAAGCAGCATCATCAACTCGGGCGTCTTCTTTCACCTGCTGCGGTTGACGTCAGTGCATACCGCCGACTGGTTGGTAGACTTCTTTATCTTACTATGACACGGCCGGATATCACTTACGTTGTTAATGTGCTTAGTCAAGCTATGCAGGCTCCTACTAAGGCACATGAAGTTACTACCATTAGGATTCTTCGATACCTCAAGTCTACTCCGGGGCATGGTCTCTTCTTCCCTGCTTCGACTTCTCTCTCTCATACTGCGTACTGTGACGCAGATTGGAGTGGTTGTCCTCTCACACGGCGTTCTACGATTGCTTATTATTTTGGATGATTCTCCCATTTCCCGGCGTACAAAGAAGGTTAGGGCTTGCCCCCCCCCCCCAAGAATTTTAAAACTTACGTATAATTGGTTCGAGATTATACATATAATCTAATGATATCGTATAAAATTAACAGACTCGCAAATCTGAATAGAAAAATATGACCAGTCTAGTGGAAGTGTGCCCCTTTTCACTGAGTGGTCTCTGTTTCGATGCCAATGGAAAGCAAGTTGTTGTTTTTTCTTATTTTTGACCGCTAAGCCTATCTGCTACTCCATAGTCATAGTTTCGATTCCAATGGAAATCAGGTAGCTTGTTTCCCATTTTTTGTCCAATAAGCTATTTGCTAATCGTAGATTTTTTGTTAAGAATTTTATTTTGATAACAAATCAATTTAATCATTAAATATATTTTTCTAAATACTAGTATTGGTAGACATTCTCTTTTAGTTGTGTATTTATAAATTTATAATAACATCAAAATTAGTTTTTAAAATATATATTTCTTATTCGTATTTTTTAGGATTTACGATAACGTATTAAGAAAATTTCGCCCCCCCCCCCCCGACCGCTAAATCCTGGCTCCGCCTCTGTCTGGTCCTACACCTCTCTTTTGTGATAATCAGGCGGCTCTGCACATTGATGCTAATCCGGTCTTTCACGAGCGAACCAAGCATGTTGAGATGGATTGCTATTTCGTTCATGAGCGTGTTCAATCCGGCGACATTGCTCCTCAGAAAATTGCCACCTCGGAAGCAACCAGCTGATTTATTTACGAAAGGATTGAGCGTTGATAAGTTTCATCATCTCTTCGATAAGTTTGGACTTCTCGATATTCACTCCTTCGCTTGAGGGGGAGTGTAGGGATTCCTATTGTAATTGGCCATTATAGTAGAGATCTTTCTGTACTTTCCCTTTCCCTACGTTGCATGGTGTTAAGGGAGTGGGTTGTATATTTTTGGCCGCTTCTTCTTATATATGTAAACCCTAGCAGAAAAGACTAAGAAATAAAACACTCAGCCGAGAGCTTCTAGTTCTCCGTGAACTAGTCTCCTTGTGCCGTGTTCTTGTTAGGGATGGCAACTTTGCCCATACCCATGGGTTTCTTACTATCCAACCCAATTGGGTTGGGTATGAAATCCAAATAGATGGATATGGGTAGAGTTTGATGGGTTTGTACCCATACGCATTTACTTTGGGTTGAGTTGGGTTTATATCAAATGGATTTGGGTTTGTACCCATGCCCAAATACAAATTACAGTTTGGTACCCAAACTTAATAGATATGCATATTTACTACCTAAATTTAAATTTTTTCGCATATAAGTCTTCAAAATATCGTTGGAAAATTACGTTTTGGTACCTAAATTTTTTTGGTCTTACATTTTGGTACCTAAACTTTTCAAGTTTTACAAATAGGTCCAATTTTTGCATGTGTAGTTAAAACACCCTCAAGTAAATGGATATCCATATCCAACCCATACCCATTTAAATTATGGAAGCAACATTCATACCTTACCCAAACCCATTTATAAACCCCAAAATCCATATGCACTTCACCCATACCCAACCCATTATCAATGGGTCTACTTGGTTTTGGGTATAATTACCCATGTGTGGGTAATTTGCCATGCCTAGTTCTTGTTCACTTCCGCGTTCATCGATTTTTACAGACTCTCTCTCTCTCCCGGCCGTTTGCCAATTTTCCCTCTCTCTCTCTCTTGGTTTCGCCTCTATTCTTCTTCGTCCCGATTCCTCGATTGCAACCGCCAATCTTCTCTGTTTGCCGATTTTTCCGAGTCTCTCTTGCTTTCCCCTCTGTTCTTCTTCTTCTCGGTTCCTCGATTGCAACCACCAATCTTCTCTGTTTGCCAATTTTTCCTCCCTCTCTCTTGCTTTCCCCTCTGTAACAGAGAAGAAATGCAGAGTGTAGCAATCCTCACTAGCTGCGGATTGTGATGGATGAAGACGGCGTCGTTGCAGAAGAAAAGAGAAGAATGATTGCTGAAGAACTAAAGGGAACGACAGCGTTTTTAGTATAGTTGAGTTAGCCGTTAATTCACTGTTTGTTTAAATTGAGAACCAATCTTGTAAGGACACGTTTCACTTTATAGTTAATTACAAAAGTAGCTATAAAAGCTACGGAGAGCTCAGAATACAGCTGAGCTTTTCCTCCAAATTCCTTTCTTCTTTACAATTTCTACATGGTATCAGAGCAGCCCATGCCCTAGGGTTTGAGTCTGCGCAGCAATAATGTCGAGTGAGCAGTCGACTCCGCAGCCCGGCAGTCAAGGAAGAGGCAACAACAACAGTGGTGCTTCTACTCTCAGTGGAGTTCAATTTGGCTCCTTTGGTCAACAACAACAGCAGCAAACAGAGGTCATCACGTTTGGTAATCCATTCTATCTCAATCCAAACGAAAATATGGCTCAATCTCTGGTTGCTGAGTTGTTTGATGGTACAAACTACACAATGTGGAGTAGATCTATGCAAGTGGTACTTAAAACGAAGAACAAGCTGGGTTTTCTATATGGGTCAGTTGCAATGCCTTCTAGGGATTCAGATATGTTTGCCATTTGGGATGCTTGTAATACTGTGGTCCTATGCTGGATCCAAAACTCCATGACCAAAGAACTGCGAAGGGCAGTGTTGAATCACAGTAATTGTAAGACACTTTGGGAAGAACTGAAGAGGCGTTTTGGACAACAAATGCCATGAGAATTGCTAACCTGGAGGATGAGATCTTGGCTTGTAAACAGGGAACTAAGTCAATTAGTCAGTATTACACAGAGATAAAGGTATTATGGGATGAGTATGTCGAATTTTGTCCTGTGGTTCCATGTGCTTGTGCTCCAGGTTCGACCATTCCCTGTGCTGCAGTAGCTGCTTTTGTTCAAAAGCAGGAGACATATTATTTGATTCGCTTTCTGAGAGGAATCAATCCAGAATTTGAAGTCATCAAAACCCAGCTGTTGATGCAAAAACCCCTACCTAGTGTTTCTGAAGCGGTTGATGACCTGCTCCAGCATGAACAGAAATTGAAGGCAGATGTAGTGACTGGTGGTGGAAAGAAGAACCAGTCATTGGCTCTAGCTGCAGGAAGTCAGCAACAACAGAGGGGTTCTGCAGAAACTAGTCAGGGTAAGAAGTATTGTTGTTACTGCAAACGAACAAATCAGAACATTGATGAGTGCTGGTGGTTGAAGAAGAAGTAGGGAGAACAACAGAAAGATTGTCATTCAAATTCCAGTTCGAGTTCGAGTTCTAGTACTCCAAGATTTGTTGGTTCTGTTGCTCAGGGTACTGGAAGTGCAGCTGGTGATCATCATCCTGAAGGTAATACAACTACTGAAGGTATGAACCAAACTCCATTTGCTTTCACTGCAGAGGAAATGGCTCGTCTCAAGAACCTGCTGCAAATTGGTACTAATGCTTACCCATCCCCACCTACCTCCCCATCCATCAACCACCAAGCCTTTACAGCCACACAACACGCTACACCATTCCCTAACTTCTCAGGTAAACATGTCACCTTTTCTTCTCACCTAGATCAAACATGTGATTCCAACCTGTGGATAATAGACACAGGGGCCTCAGATCACATAGCCTGTTCCATTACCATGTTTACTTCTTATAGAGAAGTTAAGGATACTTATGTTTATTTACCTAACAAAACCAGAGTCATTGTAACTTGTATAGGCACAGTCAAAGTACCTACTGGTCTATCACTTTATGATGTTCTCTTAGTCCCTACCTTTTCCTTCAATCTTATCTCAGTTAGTAAATTGACCCATGACCACCCCATTTCCTTACAATTTCAATCTGATCACTGTGAACTCCAGGACCTTCTAAGCCAGAGGAAGATTGGTTTGGCAAGAGAATGTAGAGGCCTCTACCAGCTGGTTCTTCCTCAAAGTCCTACCCATTTCTCTTCACCAACTTTTCACCAAGCTGCCTCGACCTTCAACTACCAACCACAAGACCTACACCTATGGCATTGGCGATTAGGACACCCTAGTCATGATAGATTGTCTTTGCTTTCCAAAATCATCCCTGATGTAACTAAACAGAAACCATTACACTGTGATGTCTGCCATTTATCCAAACAACACAAACTGCCTTTTCCAATTAGTACCAATGTAGCACCTGAGATGTTTCATTTGCTGCATATGGATATTTGGGGACCTTTATCAGTTGTTTCCTATGATGGTTATCAGTATTTTCTTACAATAGTGGATGATTATTCTCGTTGTGTATGGATATATCTGATGAGGCACAAGAGTGACGTAAGGGGCTTGATTCAAGGTTTTTGCCATTTGGTTAAGAACCAATTTGGTACCACAGTTAAAACTATTCGCAGTGATCAGGGTAAAGAGTTTCAAATGTGTGATTACTTCTCTCAAGAAGGAATAGAACATCAGGTTTCTTGTGTGGAAACCCCTGAACAAAATGGGAGGGTAGAGAGAAAGCACCAACACATTCTTAATGTAGTCAGGGCATTGAAATTTCAATCTGGTCTTCCCTTACAGTATTGGAGTGAATATGTTTTACATGCTGTCTACTTAATCAATCGCACACCAACTCCAGTTCTACAAAACAAATCACCAGTTGAAGTTCTTTTTCAAAAACCTGCTTCTTTGGCTCACTTAAGAGTGTTTGGCAGTTTATGTTATGCTTCCACCCTTGTTCATGGGAGAACCAAATTTGCTCCCAGGGCCAAACAATGTGTGTTCTTGGGGTTTCCAGCAGGTGTCAAGGGTTACAAGGTTATGGATATCCATACCAAACAGGTTTTCCTGTCTACGGATGTTGTTTTCTATGAGAAAATACTCCCCTTCCATTGTCCTGATGTCTCTACCACTTCAGATGCCTCTACTTCTGTTCCTACACCTCCACAGGTGGTACCCTCACCTGCTCCTGGTCTACATATCCATACTCCTCAGTTTCATCCATCCATGGATGAAAGGGGGGAACCTGAGTCTGAGTCTGAATGTCACACTAATGACCAGTCTCCTACAAGTATCCCAACAGGTTCTCAGAGTCAGCATGAGCACTATGACTACTTTGATTCAGATGACCAGGAGTTGCTGCAGCAAGCTGATGTTGATTGTGAGAATCTGGGAGATCAAATGGTAGAGGACAGACCTCGAAGAAAGGTTACACTTCCAAGTAAGTACAAGGACTATGAACTAGATCCAAGCATTTCCTTTGGTCACTGTGGGAAATCAAACTCTTGCAGTAGACATCCTTTATGTCTGAATGTGGATAGCTTGAGTCATGATGATAGATCCTTTGCACTGAATATCATGAACTTAGTAGAACCTAGTTCATATTATGAAGCAATCAAGTCTGATACATGGAATAGGACTGTGAACTCAGAGTTACATGCCTTGGAGGAAAACCAG